ACTCTCCTGAAGTACATGACGGACGGTATGCTTTTGCGGGAGGCCATGCATGACCATAACCTAAATCGCTACAGCACGATTATTCTGGACGAGGCTCACGAACGGACCATGGCGACGGATGTTCTGATGGGTTTACTGAAGGAGGTTGTGGTGCGACGCCCGGATCTGAAGATCATCATCATGTCTGCGACTCTGGATGCGCAGAAGTTCCAGCGCTACTTCATGGATGCCCCTCTCCTCGCCGTTCCCGGTCGCACCCACCCGGTCGAGATCTTCTACACCCCCGAACCCGAAAATGACTACGTGGAGGCCGCCATTCGCACGGTTCTCCAAATCCACGCCACCGAGGCAGATGGTGATATCTTATTGTTCCTGACCGGTGAGGAGGAGATTGAAGATGCTTCGCGCAAGATCTCCCTGGAGGCCGATGAGATGACCAGAGAAGTTGGAGCCGGTCCGTTGAAGGTATACCCGCTCTATGGCAGTCTGCCGCCGCATATGCAGCAACGCATCTTCGACCCGGCACCCGGTCCTACGCGCCCCGGAGGTCGCGCTGGGAGAAAGGTCATCGTGTCGACGAACATCGCCGAAACCTCGCTGACCATTGATGGTATCGTGTATGTCGTGGACCCGGGTTTCTCGAAGCAGAAGATCTACAACCCCCGCATCCGCGTCGAGTCGCTCTTGGTGTCTCCGATCTCCAAGGCTTCGGCGCAGCAGCGTGCCGGTCGTGCCGGTCGTACACGTCCCGGAAAGTGCTTCCGCCTTTACACCGAAGGCGCCTTTAAGAAGGAACTGATCGACCAGACCTACCCTGAGATTCTGCGCTCCAATCTGTCGTCCACCGTCCTGGAGTTGAAGAAACTTGGTGTCGATGATCTGGTGCATTTCGATTTGATGGATCCCCCCGCGCCCGAGACCCTGATGAGAGCCCTGGAGGAGCTCAACTACCTGGCGTGCTTGGACGACGAGGGCAACCTCACTCCGTTGGGCCGTCTGGCGTCGGAATTCCCCCTTGACCCCGCCCTGGCGGTCATGCTGATCAGCTCTCCTGAGTTCTACTGCTCCAACGAGATCCTCTCCATCACGGCCCTTCTTTCCGTCCCCCAGGTCTTCGTGCGACCGGCATCCCAGCGCAAGCGCGCCGACGAGATGAAGAACCTCTTCGCTCACCCCGACGGCGATCAGCTGACCATGCTCAACGTCTACCACGCCTTCAAGGGCGCCGACGCCCAGGAAAACCCGAAGCAGTGGTGCCACGACCATTTCCTCTCCCTGCGATCGCTCCAGTCGGCGGATAACGTGCGCATGCAGCTTCTGCGCATCATGGAGCGCGAAGAGCTCGAGATGGTCTCCACCCCCTTCGAGGACAAGAAGTACTACGAGAACATCCGCCGCGCCCTGTGCGCCGGATTCTTCATGCAGGTCGCCAGGAAGGAAAGCCAGGGAAAGAACATGTACACGACCATCAAAGACAACCAGAATGTCTTGTTGCATCCCTCCACCGTTTTGGGCCACGACGCCGAATGGGTCCTGTACAATGAATTCGTGCTCACCACCAAGAATTACATCCGGACTGTCACCGCCGTCAAGCCTGAGTGGCTCCTGGTAAGATCCCACCTCCAACACAATCAGTGAAAGAAGACGAACAATAACTAATCCATAATTGCAGGACATCGCCCCCGCATACTACGACATCTCAACTTTCGCCAAGGGCGACATCCGTTCGGCTCTTCTCCGCGCCGCCGAGAGGCTTACGCGCAAGGAGAAGATGCGTTCTGAGGGATCACGGAGACGATAGATTATGTGTGTTTGCGGTTATTAGGAGTTCCTTTTTTTATTTACCCTTTCTAGACATCTATTTTATGTTGATGAAATGTTCTTTCTATTTGGCGTCGTGCCCGGTACGCTTCTGTAGTTTTCCTTGATTTGTTTTTTTCTTTTCTTGTCTTTTATCTTCTTCCCCCCCCCCCTGTCAATGTTTAGAAGTAGCGCCGGTCCATCGACGTGTCTTGTCAGATTTTATAGAGAAAATTTGAAATTTCCCTTGATAACAGGGCTGGCAACAATCTAGAGAATGCTGTACCATGAAGCTGAGTGATTATGATTTCCCATATCCTTGACATATATCTCTTTATAAAAGCATGTATTGTTACACGAGCTATAGATTTTCCCCAATCGCCACATGAATAGGCTGAAAAAGGCGTAATTGAGAGATGATGGCCTGGTCGTTGATTCCAATTCTATCATGATAATGTACAGTTCACTAAGGTATCAGTAGGCGGAGCCAAAAGAAAAAAAAAGTATAAAAAAAAATAATGAAACAAATAAATAAACCAATAATAACTCCGCCGAGTTAAGTTATAGCAATGTACACGCTTTCTTGAAGCGCTGGTCGTCGATTGATCGATCGAATGAAATCTTGGAGCAGACAGCTCCAAGATTCGAGGGGTGCCGTGTCATCTCGTTCAAGACGACGACTTGATATATCGAACGCTTAGATGAGGCGGCGCAGGCGGCGCCTCGTCGAGAGCGGCGGCTTTGGGTGGAAGGATGGTATTTGTGGATGCGAGCTGGGCTTTCAGCTGTTCGAGGTCTCTGGAGGCAGACTGGGCTATGGAGGTGCTGTCGAGGGTGGTCTGGTGCAGTTTGTAGATAAGCTGCTTTAGGTGCGAGACTTCGCTTCGTAAGGATGTGATCTCTCCTTTCTGGGCTTCGGCGGTGCGTTTTGCTTCGTGGAACTCTTCTTCGTCGACGTTGAACCGGTCGTCTTCGATGTTGATTTGTTCGAGAAGAGATTCTTGTTGGCTTGTGCTGCTGGGCTCTGGAGCGGGGTTTGAGTTTCGGTACTCTGCGGGCTTGCCGGCGAGGACGGAATCGAGGACTTGCTGGGCGTAGGTCCCCATTAGCTTTTGCCATTGGCGAGCGGAGGATTTGTGCTCGTCCAAGGCGAGTTCGTTCAGCTGCTCTCCGAAGGCGTTGGCGAATGCGTAGCACTTCTCCCATGTCGCTTTATCTCGGGCGTTGAGACTTGTTGGCGATGCGTCCTCTGCTACGTGCCATCGGCGGGAATGTGGGTCTATGGCTGATTCGATACGCAGGTGCTCCATAGCGCACCTCCAGTCGAAGCCACTGTCCACTGCGGCGACGATGATTGCCTCGGAGACGTCGTATCTTTCGCAGGAGTCGCAGAGGTTGGTCATTAGAAGTATCATTTTCTCAACACTGACCTCTTCGTGGGCTGTTGATGAAGAGATGAAAGCCAGACATCTCTTCATGGTCTGCACGCCCATCTCCCAGTCGTGTCGATTGGCATAGAATGCTAAATATGCATTCAGGTTGGGAAAATGGTCCATGTATCCTATCCTCCTAGCCGCTTGGAGGTAGGCTTCGGCTCGCTCGGGTTGATTGAAACGCAAGCAAGACACAATCAGGACGGTGTAGGCGACCGCATTAGCGGATTGCACGGGGGGGACAGCAATTTCGATGCCGTTGATCACTTCCTTGACGTAGTAGCTCAAGTTGTACATGTCAATGGGATAACCCTGCCCGCACAGCATATTCAGAAACCGGTCGAATGACCGGAGATCTTTGTCCTTGCGGTAGAAGGTAAGTATCGTGAGGATAAGAGAGGCGTTCAAAGGAAACTTGTGAGGTAGAATTGTCTTCATAACCAGGTGGCATAGATCGTGCTGCTTGGTTTTGTAAAAAGCCAAAAGCATCAACCGTAAAGCGGTAGACCGATCGGGGTCTTTGGAACGCATGATGTTGTTCGACAGTCGAAGAAGGTATTCCGCGAGCGACATCTCCTCGGCTAGGTATATTTCCGTGTCACTGCGCATCTCCTCTTCCAGCTGGGCGCGCTCGCGTGTCACCTCATCCATATCGCGAAGGCGGAAATCCTTGGTCAGATCATCGATGTATGCCTCCCTCGATGTTTTTAAGTGCCGCATTCTGTGTCGGATATGGCTCAATTCTTTGAGAAGGTCGGCTACCTTCAACTGAGGTACGGAGGAGTCCTGCGCGTAGTTCATCCGGATCCCCTCGTATGTGTGCGCGATGGCCGGTCGCAGCAGTAACCGGATAGCCAGCTGTCTCAGCGCCAATTTCCGAATCGCCTTGAGGCGAATCGGGTCATACCAGAGCCACTCTGGAAAGGCATCATAGTGATTCGACAAGCCTGTCCCATCGTCTGCATCCTCAAAGATTGGAGCCTCGTTTTCCGCAAGGATCTCTGTGACCACCCGGCTCTCCTGCTCGACCTCCACAGTAGCACCACCGGAGCGTGACCCATCCTCAAATTCCAGATCATCCGAAAACATTGGCGAATCCGAGACACGCCGGGGGTTCCTTCGAAGGTTATTTGACGGCCATTGGACTCTGGGTCGTTCGGACGGACGGCGGGCAGCAGCAGTGCTGTATTGGCGTATCTGGGAGATTCGACGGAAGGGTGTCGCTAATTGCTGCGGCGAGATTGCTTGTAGAATGCGCTGTTCCTCGTCCATCAACTTGTCGACCTCCTCCTTGACGGCCGCGATCTTTTCCGTCCATTCAAGACGCCGTTGATTCTTCGCCCGGGCATCTGCCAACGCAGCGGCGGCGAAAATACTCGTGTAAAAAGCCGTAATCGAGTTTCCGATCCGAAGACGTCTCTTGCTTGCGGCCGACGCTGTCCGTGAGGTCAATCCGCTCGCACCGGTGCTCAGGCATGAGACGCAGCGACAGGTCGACGACTGCGCCGAACCGGCACGGGTCCAGAGACTTTGCATAATCACGACATGCCTTGTCCGGGGTCGGAATGGATGAGGGCAGCCGGCGAATAGACCAAGGGAATTGGCGACCCTACAGGGCTCAATGGTTGATCGAAGGTGGTGTGGTGATGTAGGTCGTAGTGGGACGACCAGGAACCGAATTCGCCGACAAAAAGTCATCGGGTCTCCGGGCCGGTGCAAACCCTGCAAACAGCCGCTCTCAGGATAGCCGGACCAGACACGGGGAAACTTGGAGATACCATCTGTACATTCTCATCTCCTTTGTGTGGAACGCACTGGTCGTGTCTCATTGTTGTATTTGTTTTTCTTTGATCTATGTAGCCGGGCTGCAATTATAACCTCTAGATCCTATATCTACTTGTCACAACCCCCCTGGAACCGTGCAGTCGATGATGTTTATCCCATCGATCACCCTCGCAGCTGCTCTGCTGGCCTTGAGCGGCAATGTCGCAAATGCCCATGGCGCCCATTCCGATCAGCCCCCGTCTTCTGACTGGGCGACGCGGCACATGAATGGTGGGTGACTCAAAAATGACCTCTTGACATCGCACGTCCTGACGCTGCTGCTCCAACAGAGGAACATCACATCGATTCTTTTGACCCCGGCTCCTTCTTCGCCCTTCACGATTACGATAACTCCGGAGCTTGGACTTTGGACGAGGTTCGGAAGACATATGGCCTGGACGACGAGTCAAATGCCGGCGTGAGTGAAGATCGCAAGCAGCAGGGCGTTCGGGAGGTGTTTGCGTTGTTCGACCCCACCAACACTGGCGTCATCTCCCGCGATAACTGGATGCGTTTGATCTCGTCCGGCACTCGACTTCCCGACCTTGGGTTTGGTCCCGGTCATCACGGTGACATCGAGTACGAGTATGAAATCCACCATTATGAGAAGTACCACGGAGACGATACAACAGAGGAGGACCTCAACCATCCCGAAGACATTGAGCATTTCCGGAGACACGACGAGGAGGATATGGCGGCAGAGAGGCTGGAACAGCTTGAGAGGACACAAATTGTGGAGAAAAACATCCCGCAAAAGTTCCGCAGGAAGATTTAAGACGTGTACAGTACGGCGTTGATTTTCCCCTTTTTCTTTTGTTGTATATATGATGTCTCCTTTGGACAGTGTGAATGCCGGTTACTTGATATGATGCGATAAATCGATACCCTTTCGTCGCGAGGATAGGATATTCACTGCTTGGTCTGGCCGGATCCAGCTTTGCCCGGTTGCGCTGAGTATTGGCTCGGTTTCTCCGACGGGTCAGATTCGTGGGTTGGGCTTTGCTGTTCTTCGCCAGCGTCTTATTTCGAATTGTCGGATGGGGATGACAGTCGTACATCAAAGACACAGTGCATGACCCCGGGCGCGTAGGTCTTCACATATTCGACATGACGGCACTCAGCAATGGCAGGCGAATTGATAGCCTGGGACCGTATCCTTTGGAGCTCCGTAGTAAACTCCTGTTTCTTCTGCTCGACTTCCTGTATATCAACGTTCTCATGGACGTGCAGCCACCCACCCCTCTGAGCATCAACCATGCTACAAGCATTGTCCCACGCCGCACGGGATGTCGGGAGGAGGCCCAAATTGACGTGCCTGATGCTGTTCCATTCACCTGGGCACGTTGTCGCCGTCGCCCGCTGCACGTCACTCAAAATCCTGGCAGCATGCTTGTTGTCACCATGGAAGACAACCACCCTAGTCTGATCATCAAGACTCTCAACCAACTCCTGCACAGACACATTCAAAGCGCCGTCCCGCACAGAAACCACCCTGCAACCCCATCCATTCGCCACACATCCCCTCCTCAACCCCTCCACAGACCACCCATTAATCTCCCACCCCCACACCCTCCTCACCCCCTTCTTCAAATACGAGAAAACAAAGTACCCAATCCCCGCATACATATCAACAACAGCAACGTCCCCAACCTCCTGCCCCGCAAGCGAGCCCTCATCAAGCCCCTCAAACGCGCCCAGGATCCGCGCCTTCTCGGTGATATTGCCGCGCGAGAACATAGTGTACAGCGGCGCCCAGATCTGCACGATCCCGTGGTTCTGCACCGTGCGCACCCACAGCGCATGCTGGAAATCGAGCTCACTCGGCTGCGCTTCTTCGCCATCTCCTGATGGAGGGGGCCCGAAGTCTCCGTGCAAGGGGATCAGGCCCACGGGGCTGCGCATGCGGTTCTCGTGTCCTTGAGTGTCGGTGGGTGCGATGGGGGCGTTGATCGCGATGTGTGTCACGCCCATGTGGCTGAATGATGCGGCTAGTGACTCGTAGAGTTGCTGGCGCTGCTGCGGATCTAGGTCTTGGTAGAGTGAGCCCCATGGTGCGGGGGCGCTGAATGCATTCGCGGGAAGCAATAGGAGCGGTTCATATGCGGTGAAGCGTTTTGGGAGTGACGATGCTAGTGTTTCTGGGGATAGGCCGTGGTTGGAAAGTGTTGATGGTGATAGATGGTTTGTCACGAAGTCTTGTATGCCCCGCTGTAGCGGATTGAAGATCTTTTTCGGACGATTTCCGGTATGACTGCGTCTTGCAGGGTCTCTGTCGGCCTGCCCGGAAGTAGGGCCTTGTCGAGAAGGAGCATGATGTTCACGAGACATAATGTTGGAATTTGGTCACTCCAATATTGCCAGACTTTGGCTTATTGATTGAAACCATATAGTAATAGAGTGCGCGAGCTTAGAAGGGCATTTTGGTTGACAGCTGATGGTATACTAGGCGATATTAATTCCCACAGCCTCCAGTTTAGCTTTGAACCTGGAACATCATAGCCACAGTATTATTACCAGAAGTCGTCTTGCGTCGTTAACGATAGTCGATGTTTGTGGTGTTGACCAATTGAAAATTTGGAGTCCATCTTCCGTTATATGCTCGTCATGTGACCTGTATCTATATCTGAAAACGACGAGACTCGACTAACATGGAAAATAGTATGGGAGAAAAACCCGACTCAATTGTGTGATGTATAATGTTTCAAAATAGTCCTTTTAAGTGTCTCAATCATTATACGAGATGATATTGTCCTTTCACTATCACTATAAAATACGACGGCATTTAGACGAGGAAGATCTTCCACAATGAAATTTGATAGTGTGCATTGTACTATGTACTATTGCCATACTTCAAAAAGGTGGTAGTGGCAGTATGCAGACTGTCGCAGGAAAGACCAGATAAAATCACCAAGGATATCGTTAAAACAGTCGCCGCCGTGACCTCATGCTGCAAGTAAAAAAAAGACCGTCGCTTCCCACCGAGGATAGCCCATGGAAATTACTGGAAAAAAGACAGAGGAGATGGAATTGAATGGGATTGGTATGACAAAGATATGGCGGATTCAGTAATCAGTGCCAGTGTATCCAAGCCTATCATTGGTGTCAAGCACGCTAGCATCGCCTGTTAGTATCTAGATCAACGATCCAAAAAGAGAGCCAAACTCACGAATATTGTTTTGTCAATGTCCCCTCACCACCTTTTGCTAGATCGATACTGTAAACATAAAAGTTACCGTCGCTGGTGACCACCATAACTTGCGGCGTGTTGCTACTCATAGCGACGACACTCCGTAGCGGCCCAGTATTCCCATTTCCTCCCGCGGCCTGGTTGGCCTTGGGGAGTTTAATCCAGGCAAAGTCCCGCGTCGGTTCCCACATTTCGCTGACGCCTTTTGGGAGATACCCGCCGACTCGAGCAGCAAAAGAGCTCCCCACGTTTTGAGAGGTCCGTCGGATGATTCCCATTAAGGTCCCATTGTGTTTCCGCATAGCTACCTCCGAGCCCGATTCTTCCCCCATGTCGTCGGCTTCCGGCGATTGACTCGGAGAACTGTGACTCAATGTTCCTTGGCGGGTGGTGGGCGAGGATGGAGAGGAGCCGTCAGGAGACTGGCCCGGGTGGCTCAGTTTGAATAGATGAATGGTTTCGGTCGACGAAGAGACACAGAGGAGGGTCGAAGTGGTATTGAAGGACATGCTGTAGATTCTGGAGGGGATTGATCCGCGCCGAAATTGGTAGAGTTTGTGGCCATCCGGAACGGAAAAGACGCGGATGATTGTTCCTTTGTCGGATGCAGTGGCAATAAGAGTGCCATCGCCATTAAGTGTAATGCATGCTAACGGGGACCGATGGGCCTCAATGACGTTGATCGCTTCTAGCTTCAACGTATCAAAGATTAGAACCTCTCCACTGGTAGGTGATACGTGCATTGCTCCCGGTGGCGCATGAGGCGGGGGGGTGAAAGTAGCAGCCGGAGCTCTCAGCGGAAGAGGGTATGCGAGATAGCAATTGTCGGACGATGGCGATAGGGCACAGAGCGCTGCTAGACGTTAGAAACAAAGCCCATGCAAATGCAGCGGAAGATGGAAGGTCTTGCCGTTCGGATTTGGGGAGGTCTGGATGGTATATAGGAGCTTCATGGTTTGAATGTCATAGATATAGATCTGATCCTCTAGAACGATCACGAGGCGTTTTCGGTTCAGCTTGACCGCTAGGACGGTGGTAGGGAACGTCAATTCGCATATTGTGGATTGGCGCTATATTGAGAAGAGGCAGACAAGCAGTGTCAACGAGAGTCACGAAATCGAGTAAACAGCCCAACAGTCCCAACAACATGCAATTTCTTGCCTCTTCCTCTCCTCTCCCCTCCTCATGACAGTCACACAGCCCCACATGTTTGCGCAAAGGATGTCTACGAACCTTGGTATTAGTGATGTGAAGCCGACGCGGCGACAGAATAAGCGCAACCAGCGACGTCGAGAATAGCATCTCCATTATCGCGATATTCCCTTCCTTGGTCTCATAGCTCTTAGCGAACGGATCCGTTGTGAAGATTCGAAAACCCCTAGACGTCGCTGGTAGACAGACATTAGAAAATGACTCTGTCGCGACGAGCGATATTTGGCGGTGGAGGCGGGGGAGCCCTTACCGACAGCCAAATGGCTGTAGTCTTGGTTAAACGTCACGAAATTCATGGCCATTTTTCCTCAGTCGCACCCCTTGCGAGCGCGACACCGATTTCAAAAGAGACAAGTGGCGCAAACACTGGAAAATCGAATCAGAGAAGAAGCGTTACGCGACCAGGATCGAGCCAACAAGGATGTTCGCGGGGTTCGTGGGTAGTGGTAGGAAGCTAAAGGCACAGCAGGTCGATCCTATCACAGGACCATTTCGTCACCGATGACCTTCGCCTCACGGGTCCCGGGGGGGAGGGGGCTTAAGTATACCGGTGATCAGCGATCACATGCAGACGTACAACACAGAAAATAGGAGCGACAAAGGTCCGCAGCGCACGGAAGGAGGATCGTTAAGGTTGACAGTTGTTGAGAAAGAGAGGACCCGGGGAAATCGCAGAGCAACAAGCAGTTCCTCCTCCTACCGCGGGCTGAGTCTGGCGCGCGGCAAAGCGTGCCTTGGGACGCTCGGGCCACACCTTGATTACTACGATGATCTAAACTTTTCAAGACATTGTAGTGGGGCTTTTCCCACTCCCGGGTTGCCGTTCTTTTTCATATAATTTGACATTCTACCCGTCTATAGACTCTATAGGAGCGGTATTTTCGGCTTTTTAGTGATGGTCTCCAAAAAAGGGCCAGCGGCGGCCCCTGGAGGCGTCTCTAAGGTCGAAAAGGACGCCGATTTGGTGATGGCTGTAAGTTGTATATGATTGAGTCCTCGACCCCGCATACCCTGCGAGATGCTGTTACTTACTTTTCTGTCTGAAGACGAACAATAGTAGTATTGCATCGAAACGAAGCGTCGAGCAGCTTTATTACCCTAAACCCCATTTTTTCCGGCATTTCGTTGGGAAACCTCAGCGACGATCGCCCGGGATCAATCGCGGATATTGGCTTCGGATGCATACGATGGAAGAGAGCGTCCGCCGATTCATGCGCGAACCTTCAGAGAAACCCAAATTCGTCTTGAATCTTGGTTGTGGCTTGTGAGTCGTAACGCGGCGGATTGATAACGAGGTGGAAACGTATGGACTGGATGCTAAGTCGGAATGTCGTAGTGATCCGTTGCCCTTCATACTGCTCAGCGCCGACGAGAGCCTCTGTAGAAATACGACGTTCGTGGATATTGATTACGAGAAATTGATGGTCAATAGAAAGCTGTCCATCGAGAAATCGGACGATATCACACAGCTCCTCCAGGATGTAGAATTCCTGCCAAACGACAGTCCCATCCTGGTTCGCAGCAAGAACTATGTGGCTGTTGGCTGCGATCTGAAGAACCTAGAAAAGCTAGACGAAGTGCTCAGACGGCAAATCCTGCCCTCGGAGTGCTCGGTTCTCTTTCTGGCGGAAGTGTCCCTGACGTATATGGACGTCAATTCCGCCACTGCGGTATTGCAATGGGCCGCGAAGTTAAGCAACGGTCAGAAATACCGACAATTTCCCAGCCTATCACGGATTCGCATGCTGACTCGTTATGAAAGATGCTCAATTTTGCATATTAGAGCAGTTTTTCCCAGACGGACCGGAGCATCCTTTCGCATCGGCCATGATGAAGCACTTTAAGAAGATGGGCGCGCCCCTGCATTCGGTACACGAATATCCTTCGCTGCGCCAACAGGAGGAACGCTTTAAAGCCGCTGGATGGAGCCAGGCGAAGGCCAGGAGTTTATGGGATCTTTGGTCAGACAACGAATTTGTCGGCATCCCCCTCAGGAACTCTCTAGATCTAGTGGAGCCATTCGACGAGTGGGAAGAGCTCGCACTCTATTCGTCCCATTACTTCCTCCTGCATGCCTCTACTTCTCCAGGCTCCGAAGCCCTTTCAGAGTCGACAATCCCCGACGCGTCAGGGGACCCTAGTGCCGAGTTCTCACTACTGGCAAACTGCCCATCTGTGGTTGGCCAGCGGCGATTCGGGGCGCTGATTCCCGACGGAAACTCATCGATCGGCTACCATTCCGGGATAGGCCGTCAAACACGGCTGCTATCCACCGATCTATATACCAATTCGGAAGAAATTGTCGAATCTCGGCTGCCTTTCCCTCCGAATGACGTATCGGCCCGAATGTGTCACACAGTCACGGACCTGGGCAACGGCGACTGCCTACTTGTTGGAGGGAGAGCCTCTCCAGCCTCGGGGTTTCAGGATTGCTGGCTGCGAGAAGCGGGCCAGTGGCGCCAAACCCAGAGTCTCCCGGCTTCTAGATTCAGACACAATGCTGTAAAAGTCACTCTCGACACGGATTATGTGCTTGTATATGGAGGAAAAGACAGTAACGGCCCCGTGCTGGGTACATGGTTATCGTGGAGCAAAAGCGGAAACGGATGGCGAGAGGTCGAGGTCAACACAGATAAAGTTGGGTCTCGATTCGGGGCTTGCTTGACAAACCTTGATGATACATCAGGGGTGCTATGTGGGGGAATCGGCCCGGATGGAGTCGTCCTTGATGACTTTTGGACGTGGAAATTCCAACAGAAGAGTGACGGATCCCTTTCTCTTGAACTGACTGACCAAACCGAGAACTTGCGAAACAACTCGCCTTTGTTCAAGTATATCAATCGGTTTGGGGCTACGATCAGTCGGACTTCGTGGGGTCTGGTTATTGTCGGCGGTATCACCGCTCGACAAGTGGTTCCTCTTGACAAAGAGATTATGCTTCTCGACTTGTCAATTTTGTTGAAATGTTTGAGAGAAGAGAAGACTTGGACCGACAGCCCCAATATTGTTTCTGCAATCGGACTAGGGGTTGGCTTTGAAGGGCCGAGACCTTTACTGGTCGGCCATGTTGCGAGCACTGTCACTCCCACCGAATTAATTATTTTGGGCGGCGGTGCCGTCTGCTTCGCGTTTGGAACCGTCTGGACGGAGGGGACCTGGATGCTGAAGCAGAAGGACTCTACCGCCGAAAACAACTGGGCCCTGGTTTCCCAAAGCTAGCCAGCCTACTCATGGGGCGGCTAGACTATCCGGAAATCATCAGTGCGTTGATTCCAAAGCGGCGGAAGAGATCATGTTAACTCCTCGCGTGCGAGTCGCAAAGTCCGCGCACTTTCAACAGATTGTTGCTGACTGCAAACCAGTGATAAATGAAAGATCGGACAGTGGCCCTTGCAAAGAGCTCTGGACAAAAGAGTATCTCACCAGTGCAATCGGTGGTGACAGCAATGTACGCTCGTATTCCCAATAGCAGCCGGAAAGCTTCCTCGCTAAGCGTAGTCAAATCAAGCCGTAGTGCACGCAGCCCATACAGAAAATCTGAGCTCCCAATCCAAAGAATTCTCTTACGCGACTAAACGTTTTGGCCCGTTCATGGACGAGGTGCACGCGGGTGGTCACCAGGACCTGCGACGAAACAGCCTGCCAACCGCGTGGCTGATTTCCAGAATGAAAGACGATTTTCGACTCCCCGAGATGTTTTCACAGGTGTCGGGAGTTGCACACAGCTCCCCACTGAGGATATTTGGTCCGATTACTCTCTGGCTTCACGACGATGTAAGCTACGTCGTCACAGTCACATAGTCACACAGTTGGTTGGAGATGACAATGCACTGGCGATTGCCCCAGATTATGGTAACTGTCCTGGGTCAAATTCGCGGGAAGAAAAGGCTGATTCTCCACCCTCCACGCGGCGTTCAATACTTGAGCATTCCGCCTGGGGCCTCGAGCTCTAATTTCAACATCTTCCAGGAGGATGGATCTGTTACTTCAATCCCGCATACTTCCCCACAGGAGGCCACTTGCACCCAGGAGACGTTCTCTTCATCCCGCCACTGTGGCTGCAGACCGCGTCACCCACAGGCCAGGTCAGCATTGATGTCAATATTTCTTTCGCAATATCTAGAAAGGGTATGCCGCCGGTCGGGATGTCTATGGCAATCGGGACTTGCAAGCCAATAAGAAATCGCTCAATGATCTCCAGAAGACGATCAGGTTATTCGAGTGACTCCCGACTGACATGGCCCAGTATTATCTGCTGGGGCTCGCGCGGGAGTTGAAGGAGACGGCCCAAGGATGGATGGGGCCAGATGTTCGCGTCTCTTGTACAAAGCATGACTAGATATCCCTGCTTGATTATGCCCGCCGAACATCAGTTGGCAGGGCGCAAGGGCCCCTAGCTGTACCTAATTGAGTAGCGCCACCTTGTAATCCTGCTTTGGTTCCACTCTGTAGTGTCTATCAGTCCGCATATTGCATCAGCAAATGCGACTGACCCTGTAGAGATGGGCTTCGCCCCTGGGATATTCAGTTTTATTCAAAATTGTTTGCAAGCACGGCTGAGTGAAAACAGTTTTAAGGATAGACCTATTCGGGACCTGAGGAAAGATCTGGTTCCCTCCTTTCCGTTTCTTTTTTCTTTCTTTGTTTGATATCCTCCGTGCGTTTATCCCGATCGAGGACGCTGATTACCGAAGGATGGCACCTTACTTCTGCCGTGTTTGTACAACTCACACTTCGAACCTTGCTGTTGTTTCACCAGACCTCAAGGGTGCGCCAATGCCGCTTGCATCATTTGTGTTCTATTGCTGTTCTTGATATGATATTCTCTCTCCTGTGGTTCTGAAGATTTAGGTTTCGGAGGAGCCGATTTGGTTCTACTGGGTGGGCGATATACTGGCGAGCGAAGTTTGACCCCCAGAGCAAATCCAGCTAATCCCATGAACGTTGATACACCATGTTTGATGTTTGGAGATTCGAAAAGTATAATATTAAGCGGAAGCAGTGTCATCATTTCAAGCCATCGACGATCGAGGCCATTGACCCAAGGGAGCCAAGACTCCCCCGGGCCAGTCTCACTCTGAAGATTTCGCAGTGCACGGAGAGACGAAAGCGTAGATATTTGGTAATTGTTGAAGCCACAGTCGTGCAAACCACTGGTACCCGCAACCACGGTGGGGGCCCCGAGGCGGGAGACGCATGACACTAGAGAACCACGGATCCTTGTCCCAACCCGTTGCGATGGGGACAATGGGGGGGTGGTGGAGGGAGGGGGGAAAGGCGCTAGACGGGGAATTCCTCGTGCCAATAGCGAGGCTGGTGCTATGTCCACTGAGTTTGGTTGGTCCTGCATTTGCTACCGGGTGCACGCTCCCATTTGCCAGGTCTAGACGGTCTTTCCAGCCTCTGACTCGCTAGGCTTAGGTGCTGTGTTGCCTTATCGGAGGCCCAGAGCCCAAGAAAGCATCCCCCTCCTCATCCTCCTATTGGGCGTTCCCTCGTCACGGATGTTTGGCATTCAAGATTCACCGGGAGTCTAGAGAAAGGGTGGGTGGGGCAGTCCGCACGGACAAAGACCATTCGCGAGGACCACCTCCATGCCCAGCATGTCCAACATGTCCAACATCTCAAGGGGGGGTCATTAGGTATGTGATGAGCTCCCAGTGGAAACGTGGTGAACAGTATACCTTATCGATGGAAGGTGCCCGAAATGAGGATGACGATGATGACGATCGAAGGAACTAGAGGAATTAGAAGAATACCTTCGAGGTGGATACCCATCAGACCACAAGAAAGAATCAATCATCATCCCACATGAAAGGTGGAAGAAGGAGAACCGGCAATTGCACAGACCAAGACGCCACGGAAGGGCTAGGCACCAAGGCAGTGAGGCATCCACCCCCCTCCCCACTCCCCGTATTGTTTGTAATTTGTTCCTTCTTACAACTTCCCAGTTCTTCATCTCATTCCTCTGCATTGTCTGCTTCAATCTCCTCATGAACACTCTTATCTTTCCTCATTGTCTCTTCACCTAATTTGTCATTCACTTACCAGGAACCTTATCCTTCTTTTCTGGATCAATTCATTTGGGATTGACGGTCCTTGGGAAGCTAAAGTGTAATAGCCAGTGGGGCGTCTTCAATCGCATTGTCAAGACAGGGCGAGAATCTAAAATATTGGTCTCTGATTATCTTGTGGGTATCCTAGCTGTTCTCTTGGTCATTGATTCTTTCCCGTTCATCTCTCTTCTTTGGAATGGGTGATGATTCCTGGTTGTTCGCGGTTCTTGTCCCCATATCTGGTGGGTCGGTCCACTGACTGGAGAACTCCCAGGGCCTGTTTGGTGTTTCACGTGTGACGTATGTTACAACATCCACCTCCCCCACTTTTTGCGCTGGCTCCGCTCTTACACCTGCACTGTGTCTTACCTGTTCCTCTGCTTCTCTCTCTTGACACTATACCTTGACTGTCTGTTCAGCTGACAATGATCCTTCTGGATAGTGGCGACTAGCACAGGCCGATACAATTGCTTTCTCACGGGTTGCCCGAAGAATGCGCGATTAACCTCCCTCCTAACCGCAACTCTATTTGGTATAGAAACAGGTGTGACTTATATACCTTTTTGATACCGCCAACATGGCTACTGTGGTTGTGCAGCAGCAAACGCTGCGCCATCCCTCCCCTCCACCGACCGGCATCTCTCCGTCCTTAGGGATCAACCGAAGCTCTTCTCCGATCCCGAACAGACACCTACCCGTATGCCCCACGGGGCCATCCCCGGACGCCACACCCTCGACGACCCAGGATGACCTGGGTGATCAATCTCCTTCCTCCTTGCTCTTTCCACCGGATGCGTTCTCTCGCGTTTCGGAGTCGCCTCCGTTGTATTCCATAGATGCATTCTCCCTATCTGCGGCCCTCAACCATTGTGCGTCTCAGCCGTTGCCAGATCCCAGTCTGGTCTTCCCATGGCTGCACGGTCTCCACCCGGAGAACCATCTGCAGTTGGGCTTTTTCACCCACCGAAAGCGCGCTCTCAGGGTCACTCCGAAATGCTGGCGTGGGATTACATTGGTGAAGGTGGGCGGCGATCTCGCGACAGCGAGGTTGAAAGGTGCCGTGGGCCCGGAGGAAATACTGTCACCCTCGGGTCTGGATTTTTTGGCCGCCGATCCTCGGGAGGGGTTCTCAGTGCGCAATTTTCAAATCCAGACTGCCAAGCTGGCGCCCTTATCGGACATCGTCGTGTACGGGGAGCAGGGTTGCGACAAGGGACAGATTATGGAGGTTGCGGGGAGCATTGCGACAGCGCAGCAGCACTGGAGGCTCCAGTTTGACCCTCAACAGTACTTGCAGGCGTATAATACCTTTGTTCTCTCAAGTCAGTTACAATCGCTACATTGTCCCCGTTCTCTTATCGGAAGCTGACCGTGGACTAGCACCGTTCTCAAAAATCGAGCAGCACACTCCGGAGCTGGTGGCTGTCAACTCCCTCGGCCAGCTGACGGGACAAGTGGTCGATTTCTGTGGGTCCCAACATGTTTTTTTCATCAGGTAGCGCCTGCTAATATAGAGCCAGTCCAATGGGAACGGGTTGAGATGTGTGAGATGTCCCGGGCATCGGAGATTTCCACCAATGTCTGGCAAGGTCCTACCCCGGATCATCTGCTGAGGATGGGATCGGGTGGCCCTGCCGCTGGTGAATTCTATGATCTCTTGATTGAGGCGAGTGACCTGGCGAGCATGCCTGGCCCTCGCTATTTGGCATCGCTCAACGAACAGATTGAGAAGGGACCAACACGATTGGAGTTCCCAGCATCCGGATCGATCCTCTTGCCCTCGGGTGAGAATAGGGAGCTAGACGACCTGGTGACCACGCTGCGGTGGATCTATTATCTAGCGAATCCAGAAGATCCAGGGTCTTCGAGGGATTTGGATGTGGATGGGGATATTCAAATGGTTCCTCTTTCAAATAAGCCCCGCAAGGTTCTGGTGCACTGTCCTGATGGCTATACTGAGAGCTCGCTGCTCGTTATCGCGTATGCGATGTTCGCAGAAGGCATCCCTGCGCACGAGGCGTGGCTTAGGCTTCACAGCGACAAGAAGCGGAACTTCTTCGCTTATCCGTCCGACGTGACCTTTTTAAGCAGCGTGCAGACAAGATTACTGCAGGAGAGCCCGGCGACCCACTCGCATAGGCCTACCTGCCATCCAGATCCCCAATGGTTTCGCTGGTGCGACGGCTCTCTCCCGAGCCGCATCTTGCCATACATGTATCTTGGAAACCTCGCTCATGCGAACAACCCAGGCATGCTCCGGGCACTTGGAATCAAGCGTGTCCTCAGTATTGGCGAATCCGTATCGTGGCACCACGTGGAGGCTGAACAACTAGGGTCGGAGAATCTGATGCATATCACTCAAGTTCAAGACAACGGTGTCGATTCGTTGACAAAGGAGTTTGACCGATGCTTGAATTTCATTCGTGAGCTCCCCTTCCCTCTTCAATGCAGTCTAAGAGTCCATCGTTAACCGCACCCCCTTTAGGTAAGGGAAAGGACGATGGCACCGCCACTCTAGTCCACTGTCGAGTGGGGGTTTCCCGCTCGGCAACTATCTGTATCGCTGAAGTCATGGAGTCTTTGGGGCTCTCTTTCCCGCGAGCATAGTGAGTCGAATGTTTCCAACAAAAGAAAGGTCCACGCGACTAATAAAATATCAGTTGTTTTGTGCGCGCACGAAGGTTAAATGTCATAATTCAACCCCATCTGCGATTTGTGTATGATAACCACCCGTATCCATGTTGCATGAGGGCATTTGGCTAACAAATCGGTCTAGTTATGAGCTGCTTAAATGGGAGGAGTTGCAAATCCAAAAGCACAACAAGCCTCTGAGGCGAGAGCTTGAATGGTCTACCGTGGCCCGCGAGATCGCTCTGATGAACAAACCATACTCAAGATAGCGAAGAAAAGACCGTCGACGTCGTGGCGATCCGATGGCAGCCACCGAGTTTTCTCTTCCCTCCCAGAAGGCACCTCCCGATGGAGACCTTCTTGTACATCAGTTTACGACGATCGACAGAGAGCACATATCCACTGATTTACTCCCACAGACGGGACTAAACTGAACAGGCCGACTATAATACTGAACATTGACTATGAAGATATGAATGGATGAATGAATGGATGAGAGATGGACACTTTCAAATTTCTTTTGGCGTTTGAAACATGCTTGATTTATGGATGAGCGACGATTCGCCAGTACCACCTTTTTTTCTGGCTTTTCTGCGGCTTGGCTGGCGTTGCATTTCTTGAAAGAGATTTTTGCTTTCTTTCTTTACCTATTTTCTCTTTCGTGGATATCTGGATTTGATTTGCGAGGAATACGATTTGTATTGGGTTCTTTTGCTTGTTATTTCTCCGTGTCAGTACTGTATGGGAATCGAATGTCCAAAAACATAAAATAAGGGAAAATGATTCGCTTTATCTAAGAGCCTGTATATACTGATGTTGAGAGATTTGAAATGACCCACCGATCACGCTCGCTTGAAGCCCACCGTAAATCAGCACCGCTCAAAAACCCGATAAAGGCCCTTCAAGTCTGCTACCTCAACCACACCTCGCACCAGACGCGCCGTGGCGACGAGACGAGCCCGCATCGCAGGAAAGACCGTGTGCTCCAGCATCCGAGCCAGCTGTGCCCGGCGATGGGTGGTGAATTCTTCCTCCCCATCCTCACTATCTTCGGGGGCGTCAGTAGCCTCCACCGGTGGACGATGGGGTAATTGTTCCGGCGTGTAGAAGGCGGCTAGCTCGCGGAGGAAGGTATGGAAGCAATCTTGTTCGCTGGTCCAGTCGACGTACGGGCCCAGGCGGAGGAGGAACCGGGGGAGTTTGGCTAGCGAGGGGACGTAGCCTTTGAGGAGGAGAGGGATCGAGATGAGGTCGCCGTCTGGGGATATTTGGAGAGAGAAATACTCGTTGAGCATCTCCCGTCTGTCGATGAGGGCTGTGGCGACTGTTTCGGCTGCGCTGGTAAAGATTTCGTCGGCTTCCTGCTGCTGCTGCGCTCTGGTGCCCGGGGTACGGGTCGGTTGGATCTCGCGCTCGGCTTCCGCGCCGATTTGGAGAAGGTCGATGAGTTTGGGGGGTGGGTCGAGCTTGATGGTTCCGAAATTGCCGAAATCTGTTAGACTGATTTGGTAGAAGAATTCGCTGCAGAACATGCCGTAGTCGATGAGGTAGAGCTTCACGCCGGCTTGGATGGCTGCTATTCGTCGTTGCTCGTCGACTAGTCCTACGTATGTGTGTGATGCGATTGATTCTGTGAGTCCGTTGTGCATCGAGTTGCGCACTTCTGCGCGCAGGTTTTTGACGGATGTAAGGGCGATGCGAAGTGGCTCACGGCCTGATGTCTCGTACTGCAATCCTTCGTTCGGAGTGGTGGAAGAGGTGGGTTGGGCTTCTGTGGTTTGATCCATTGCGGGTGATAGCATCGAGGTGATTTTGCGGATTTTGGAATCTGTGCGAACTAGGTTGTGCTCGTATGGCTTCTTTGACGTTGCAGGTGTCTTGGGGGTGGAATCTCCCCCTTCTGCTGTATCTCGAGTGGTTGAAGAGTCAATTGACGTCACTCCTGGTAGAAGGCTTTGAGTCAGGAAGGTTCGACTAGAGTCAACCTGTGCAAGCTTCGATCTGATCTCGCCGCAGATAGATTCAATGATCTCGTCTTCGTTGAGGAAATTCACTTCCCGTTTGGTCGGATGTACATTCACATCCACCCGCTGCGGGTCGATCTCCAGGTCGATGTAGACAAAAGGATGGCCTCCCTTGGGAAGAAATCCTGCATAAGTCTGTTCAACTGCTCGCTTTACGGCGGTAGACTCAACCGCGCGATGGTTGATGAACAGGAGGATTGTTGTTCGCTTGACATGGTAGTTGGCGTTCGTGGCATATCCATTCGATGAGAAAGCCAGCTTAGTATCCTCTACATTGAATTCGATAAGCTCGTTTGCTACCGCACTCCCATGTATCTGACGGATTCGGTCGATCGTGTTCGCTGCAGAAGGTGTTGAAATGCTGACGCCGGCATCGCCGTGCTTGCGACAGGAGAAAGCGACACCCGAACAGTGAACCGCATATCGACCAACGACGTCTAGAATTTTCGCGTACTCCTCACTCGCTGACCGAAAAGCCCGGCGTCTAGTCGGAACATTATAAAACAAATCCTCGACCTGGCTGTGTCAGCTCTCTCATTGAACGTCGACGCGTCATTTGGGCTACCTACAGTTATTTGAGTGCCCCCACGTCCGGCCGTGGCTTTTGGGGCAGCGTTTTGTCCCGGTTTGGCAGGGACAAGTTTTCCGTCACTATAGTGAGCTCTCCACGCACAGCTTGACCCAGCAGTTTTGGTAGTCACCGTAAGATGGGCAATATGACTGATACTGGCCAAGGCCTCACCTCGAAACCCGTAAGTGCCGATGGAGGTGAGATCTTCAAACTGTTTCAACTTGGACGTTGTGAATCTTTCACACAGTATAGGCAGATCATCTCGCTGTAATCTCAAGATTAGTGTTGAGTTCATCTTATATATGTTAGAATGCAGACATGTCTTACATCTATGCCATGTCCATTGTCTGTGATTTGGAGCAGTTTCAGACCACCTTCTTTGACGAGGATTTCAAGGGAAGTGGATCCAGCATCAACAGCGTTCTCAATCAGCTCCTTGAGGGCATGCATTGGAGCCACAATGATCTCCCCAGCTGCAATTTTGTTGACTACATCTGGATCGAGAGCCTACATACCGTTAGTAGCCACAGTGTAAAGTAGAGATGGGGGTTTGCACTGACTTTGATCCGCTTGGGTTTGTTGATCGTCTCTGTGTCCTCCGCCGCACGCTTCGTGCCACGGGGTTCTTGAACATCAACGTCCATGATGGTTAGATCGTTGGAGTCCCTCGCACATTAGATGGAGTATTTCTCTCGTCTATTAGATTTCCTCCCTATATGACCAAAATGGAAGATTTGCCGTTGATCGTGATAGTGGACGCGTTATGAGCGAGATATAACATGACGTAATCGCATGAATATGGCAAATGGTCTCCAGCTAGTATTTTGTCAAGCCTGACTGATTATTTGTGTTCCAGGCCAGATTCTTTAATCAGCCCCAGATGAAGATGGAGATGGAGTATGGAACGAGGCGGTGGAGAAGGCAGAAGATATACTGACTAAGGTAATCACCATCATTATCCTTCATAACTTATGCATACCCGTAATCTAATCTTATCGGCTTATCGGCGCTCAACCAAGTGACCGCGCATTCCTTTCCAACCCCGTTTTCGTCTTTCTCCATCTCCTCGTTTCATGTAGACCAATGCTCTTCCTATCCTTTCCAGCTCTGTCAGAGCTATACACTGTATCAATATATCATGATCCCCTCCAGGAGGCCGTTTATGGTCGATGAAGAGCTTGGGAAGAAGGACGACGATCACCGACCGGAGGTAGACCGGCCGCAATGGCGTCCACGGCAGTGGAAATTGCCACGACCGCGGCGCCTCTTGCTAGGCATCGTGGCGTTGTATCTTTTATACTTATTCTTTAAACATATGCCAACCGACCTTCCCCCGGCGACGCAGCGATTTAATCCAGCATTGACGGAAGCACGGCTGAGAGCTGGGGCAGTGTGGTCAAACCCGGCGCAATCCCCTGGAATGCCCCCACAGAGCCCACCTCCGCGCGACGACACAATGATAAGCGATCAAGAGAATAAAAATGAATACTATGATGGCGATGTAAAGCTTTACTCGCTGACCTCTTCCTTATCACGCTTTCGAAAGGTACCGAGTCAGTATAAGTCAATCCCTAGCCATGCTGTGGTCTTCGTCGGCGCAAGCTTGCAGAGCGTCTCGGATCTGTTGCCACTTGCTTGTCAGATGGCCGCGTATAAACGGAATGAGGTACACCTTGTCTTGATGGGAAGAGAAGGTGTCTCAATTGAAGGGATCCAGCGTGTGAATGGAGTTGATGACAAAGGGTGTCCTATTTTCTGGCATGGTATGGTCCTGTGTTTATCTCATATTAGTTCCCAGATACCAGCCCCCTCTTACTATCCTTTGAATGATTTATTTTGCGCTCTACTGATATAGTGACTGTAGATGGCCGGCCTGATTATGCCCAATGGTCCACTGAGGCCCGGATGGAAAGGGCGGCGGTGGCTGGTCTAGATTATGTTCATGCCTACCTCCGTCCACAAGCGATGATCACACAAGGCGAACAACGGGAGAAAATGGAACTCATCAGGGCGGTCCAGTCAGTGGCGCAGCGTAATGGGGCCCAGCATATTGCGCTTCCAGCTCAGTCGAGAGATATCATGTGGATGTCTGCTTTGGACAGTAATGCACTGCGAGGTATTTACCAAGAAGACCCAATATCTTATTTAGAGTACTTTCGCTAATATCTACGATAGCCTGGAATGATTTCCACATTGAAATTCTCGTCCAAGCACCTTCGGAATCCGCTGGGTCCTTGATAAGGCTGATTCGATCGTTGGAAAGGGCAGACTACCTTGGGACTGTTCCCAGTTTGACAGTCGAGCTTCCATATCATACTGATTCGCAGCTTCTTCACTTCCTTCAGAGGATGAGTTGGCCGCCTCACGCAGCGAGCAAGGTTACTCTTCGCCGTCGTTTGCCTTCTGGCGCCCTTAGTCACGCTGAGGAGTCTGCAAAGTTCGTGGAGAATTTTTATCCCAAGGACCCTAATGCGACTCACTTGCTTGTACTTTCGCCACAGACAGAGCTGGCCCCGTCTTTTTTTCACTACTTGAAGTATCTGACATTGAACTACAAACACTCTGCTGGTACGAACAAGCCGACCCCGGAACTTTTCGGGATCTCACTGGAGCTCCCTTCATCCACGCTGGCTGGGGACAAGCCATTTAGTCTTCCAGAGAACGCTCTAAAGGGAGAGAGCGAACTACCAATGTTTCTCTGGCAGGCTCCCAATAGTAACGCCGCGTTATATTTCGGCGACAAATGGACGGAACTATACTCATTCTTATCTCGTCGACTTACTGCTGGGGATACAAAGGCCAGCGGGGAGACAGTGTCAAACCAGTACCCGGCCGTGCTGGAGTACATGCTGGAATTGATGCGTGCTCAAAATTCTTTCTTGGCGTACCCTGCCTTTCCTCTACGAGGGAATCCCCCTCTAGCAACAGTTCATAGCGAACTACGTCATACCTCGGAGGAATCTGCCTCGCATGACCTGGGTAAACGTGAAGAGGCTGCAGCATCAGATCATATCGATGAACTTGTGGACCGTTTGGAATCTGCCGAAAAGCCCCCTAGTTCGGCCCCAAACTTGATGCCCCTCTTGGACCAATTTGCATGGAGACTACCCGATTTGGAGGACTTGCCTACCGTCTCTTACAATGGCGATGCCTCCTCTGCTGTCGACCTTGCTCAACAGGCCAGAGAGTATAGAGAACGATTCCGAGCTAGTCACGGAGGCTGCCATGATGAACCTCAGGAAGATGAGACCAGTCCAGAGTCTTTGTTTTGTTTAGGAAATTGATTGTACAATCATTTGGGATTCGGATCTTGGATCAATGTTGTGATTTACTGCGTGATACTAAACTTGAGGCGTTCTTTATACCCTGTATTCTATGAGAGGACAAAAATATGCTGACATCATAAGTCAAGCGAGCAATGAAAAATACCAACATTGCTTGTCAACGGTCGATCCGACTAGAGGATTTAAATAAATCAGTGGCAGCCGTCATCCTATAATTACCACGCCAGATATAAAGCCATTATAACAAGAATTGATACGAAATAAATTGGGTTTCTTCATTCTTAGGCAGCGAACGATTACGTAGAAAGTCGTGGATGCGCAAGGCTTGGCATGGTCGTCTTACATAATCCGGCGGAAGCTCCACAGGGCGCAACCAACGTCCGAGCGGCGATGGACGAGAGCTGTCTGCTTCCCATCAACAAGCTTGTCATTCTTTCTCTGCCCCATCGCTTGGTGTGTAGAGGCCCCCTATCTTGTATTCATCCGTTTTTACCATTGCCTCTGCTTGCATCATCCTACTTTTACCGCCCTCGTTCCCGAATACTTTTAGACTTTTCTCGCTACCTGTCCGTCAGTGATGGCGAAAGAAGGCGAGCGGTCAGGTCCCGCCGACAAGGGCAAGGGCAAGGTTGATGATGTGAAAGATCTGTCTGGGAAGAAGACCACTAAGACCGACGAGAAGCCGAAAGAAAATGGGAAAAAGCAGGACGGGGAGCCCCAGGAAGGTATGTGGCTGTTTGGATTCACGTCACGCGGCGGATGAAGCCAACGCCGCTTTTCGTCTGCGTGAAGTTGATGATGTGCTAACGTGTTGTGTATCTAGAGGAGTTGAGTGAGGAGGATCAACAGCTGAAGAGTGAACTTGAAATGCTCGTGGAAAGGTTAAAGGTATAGTTGGCAGCTTGGCCCTCAGCAGTAGGATGATGACGTTGACGTTCACCTTTGTTATAGGAGCCGGATACGTCGCTTTACGGCCCTGCCTTGGATGCGATCAAGACATTTATCAAGACCTCGACCTCTTCGATGACGGCTGTGCCGAAACCCCTTAAGTTCCTGAGGCCGCACTACGATGATCTCGCCGCACTTTATGAGAACTGGTCCGCGGGCGCAGTCAAGGTTGGTTTGTCCGTTTCGGGGAGGGCCAGTATCAGGCGCTAATCACACGGTTGGATTTTATGTAGGACTCCTTGGCTGATATGCTCTCGGTTCTCGGAATGACGTATGGAGACGAGGAGAAACTTGAGACTTTGAAATACCGCCTTCTCACCAGCTCAGAAAAGGACCTCGGGTCATGGGGTCACGAATATATCAGGCACCTGGCTTTGGAAATCGGTCAAGAGTATCAGAATAGGTTGAATGCTGAAAAGGAGGTCCAGGACCTTATCGATCTCTCGTTATCGCTGGTCCCATACTTCCTGAGTCACAATGCCGAAGCTGATGCTGTCGACCTTCTGAGCGAAATGGAGATTATCGATGAGATCACACAGTTCCTCGACGAAAACACGTACTCGAGAGTCTGTCTCTACATGGTTAGCATGGTTAACCTCCTCACCTATCCGGAAGACCAGCAATTCCTTCGAACCGCCCACGAGATTTATGTCCGTTACAACGAACTCACCAAGGCGATCGTCCTCGCTATCCGTCTGAACGATACCGAACTCATCAAGAACGATTTGAACGCTACGTCGGATAAGTCGCTCAAGAGACAGATGGCGTTCCTCGTCGCCAGGCAGCAAATTTGGCTCGAGCCGCAGCCCGAAGACGAGGAGGATCAAGCTTTCATGGAGTGCCTCACCAACACCTCGGTCCCGAAGCACTTCAAATCCCTCGCAAAGGAGCTGAACATCCTGGATCCGGTGATGCCAGAAGACATCTACAAGACCCATCTTGAGAGCAGCCGTGGAGCTGGCCTAACTAATGTTGACTCGGCGCGGCACAATCTCGCCAGCGCATTCGTCAACTCGTTTGCTAATGCTGGCTTCGGCAATGACAAGATGATGCTGGTCGAGGGTGACAAAGGTCCATGGGTGTGGAAAACCAAGGATGACGGCATGCTCTCGACAACGGCATCCTTGGGTATGCTTCTGCACCGGGACGTCGAAGTAGGCCTGGACAAGATCGACAAGTACACATACGCCTCGGAGGACCAGATCAAAGCCGGTGCCCTGCTTGCTATTGGTCTCCTCAACTCTGGTGTGCGGATAGACTCGGACCCTGCTTTGGCCCTTCTCAGCGACACGGACAACTTGGATGCCAAGAACGTGCCGATGAAGGTGGCGTCGATCATGGGCTTGGGTTTGGCTTATGCTGGTTCCAACAAGGAGGAGCTTCTTGAGGTCCTGCTGCCAATTGTTGAGGATGTGTCGTTGGACATGCAGCTGTCTGCCATGGCGGCTGTCGCCCTGGGTCTCATCTTTGTCGGCTCTTCGAACCACCAGGTGAGCGAGGCCATCGCCACCACCTTGATGGATGAGGAGCGGCAGAAGCAGCTCAAAGACAAGTGGACTCGCTTCATGGCCCTTGGCCTGGCCCTCCTTTACTTCGGCCGCCAGGAGGAGGTTGATGTCATCCTCGACATCCTGAAGGCAGTCGATCACCCCATGGCCAAGCCCACATCCGTACTTGCGTCTGTCTGCGCCTGGGCTGGCACGGGTACCGTACTCAAGCTCCAAGAACTCCTTCACATTTGCAACGACATCATCGAGGAGAATGACGAGAACAAGGGAGACGAGTTGGTCCAGTCATACGCCGTTCTCGGCTTGTCGCTTATTGCCATGGGTGAGGAAGTTGGTCAAGACATGATTCTGAGACAGTTTGGTCACCTCATGCATTACGGCGCCAGCAACATTCGGAAGGCCGTTCCGCTCGCCATGGGTCTTATCACGCCTAGCAACCCCCAGATGAAGGTGTACGATACACTGTCCCGGTACAGCCACGACAACGACAACGATGTCGCCATCAACTCCATTTTCGCTATGGGTCTGTGTGGTGCCGGTACCAAGAATGCTCGTCTCGCACAATTGCTCCGACAGCTGGCCAGCTATTACCACCGCGATCAGAACACCCTGTTCATGGTGCGCATCGCCCAGGGTCTCCTGCACATGGGCAAGGGCACGATGACGCTGAACCCCTTCCACACCGACCGTCAGGTTCTGTCTCGCGTGTCCGCCGCCGGCCTGCTCACTGTTCTCGTCTCCATGATCGACGCCAAGCAGTTCATCCTCGGCGAACATCACTATCTCCTCTATTTCCTCATCACTGCCATGTACCCACGCTACTTAGTGACGCTGGACGAAGACCTCCAGCCGCTGACCGTCAATGTCCGGGTAGGACAGGCCGTGGACGTCGTCGGCCAGGCGGGCCGCCCCAAGTCGATCACGGGATGGCAGACGCAAAGTACGCCGGTTCTGCTCGCCCACGGCGAAAGGGCCGAACTGGAGGATGAGAAGTACATCCCTCTCAGCAGCACGCTTGAGGGTCTGGTAATTTTGCGCAAGGTAAGCATTCCCTGGCTCCTGGACGTTGTTGAAACACCGCTGACCATGGGATAGAACCCTGACTTTGAAGAATAAGTGAGATGTGATCTTTTGCGTCAAGACTTATGGGTTGGATTTAGATTTAGCGCAGGATGGGCAGCGTGAGTGCTCTGGTATGGTTGGCTTTAATTGTATGCAGGATGAGTCGCAAAATACCATGAACAATCATTCACAACTATATAGCTCTACAAATTTGTCTATGATTTACATATGGATGGCTGTTGTATGGCTCACTTTAATGTAGAGGCTCTGTATGTCGTAGTCGATGAATATATAGATGGATGTAGTTTTACTCAGTTCTTTGGGAGGATCCCGAAGGGGAAAGTAGGGCATAGGGCAGCGGGGAACCATAACTTTTTCCCGCATCTCAACCCATCGCATGGTTGTCGCCAGGACGTTTGGGATCGGATTACACCACGCTCTCATATCTGTTACTCGAGTTCCGTCCCTCTATTCTCCACGGTCGGACAACGTATCGAACATCATGAAGCTCGATGCTAAGGCGCTCCGGTACCTCACCGCAGAGGATTTCCGCGTGCTCACTGCGGTTAGTCTCGCCCCGCGCCGTCTGATGAACGTGATCTCAGCGTTTTTGTCCCAACGACTAACAAGAGCATCATCTTAGGTGGAACAAGGCAGCCGAAACCATGAGGTTGTACCGACACCGTTGATCGTGCAGATCTCCGGCCTGCGGGGTGGCAGTGGCGTGCACAGGGCCATCTCGACGTTGGCGAAGATGAATCTGATCGCGAAGGTGAAGAATGCGAAATGTATGCAGCAGCACCCTTCTTTGGCGGTTGATATCTTTTCTTCTTGGCGCTATTTACTAATTCTCGTCTTTTTCATCTTAGATGACGGCTATCGACTCACCTACGGCGGTCTCGACTATCTCGCGCTCAACTCTCACCAAAAGCAGAAATGCATCTATTCGGTCGGCAACCAGATTGGGGTGGGCAAGGAGTCGGACATCGTTGTGGTCGCAAGCCACCAGAAAACACAGCAGATTCTCAAAATCCACCGCCTGGGCCGGATATCTTTCCGCACTGTCAAGACGAACAGAGATTACCTACGACACCGGTCGAGCGCGTCCTGGATGTACATGTCGCGGCTGGCGGCGATGAAGGAATTTGCGTTTATGAAGGCACTACGCGCGAATGGGTTCTCGGTGCCTGAGCCCATCGCGCAGAACCGACACACGATCGTCATGAGTTTGATTGATGCGTTCCCACTGCGCCAGATCTCGGAAGTTCCCCGGCCTGCAGAGCTTTACTCCGAGCTTATGGATATGATTCTACGACTTGCACGATACGGACTGATCCACGGTGATTTCAACGAGTTCAACATCCTTATCATCGAAGAGGAGGACCCCGACGCCAAGGGGAAAGCCCCGGAAGGTGAAGGCAGCGAGAACCTCCGCTTGACGCCCGTCCTGATTGATTTCCCGCAAATGATCTCCATCGACCACGGCAATGCGGAGATGTACTTCGACCGCGACGTCAACTGCATCAAACGCTTTTTCAAGCGCAAGTTTCACTTTGTTAGCGACGTGCCGGGACCTTTCTTCTCCGATGCGAAGAAGCAGCTTCGGAAGAACCCCGGGAAGCGGCTGGATGTCGAGGTCGAGGCTTCCGGGTTTTCGAAGAAGATGGCGAAGGAGTTGGAGGCGTACATGAAGGAAGTTGGTGCCAACGACGAAGGTGAAGGCTCGCAGAATGGGGAGGGGAGTGACGAGGAGGGTGAATCTGGGTCGGAAGAAGAGGACGAGAACGTGAGCCACGATGGTGAGGCGCCTGACACGGAGGATCCGACTGACGAGGTTGCTGCCAGCTCTCGCAAGTTGGAGGGCCTTCAAGTGTCGGAAGCTTCCGGGGCGTAGGTCTTACGGCAGTCAGGAAAAGGGAAACAAAATAGACGATATGACTTTAATGAGCGAACATGACATTTCCTGGTTGAAGGAGAATGCTAATACCCAAGCTTGTCTCGTGCTGCACTGTCAACTGGCGTAAAACTTTCAAACATGAGAATGTGACAACACATGACTTAAATCGTAAAAAGTCTATGAATACCTTATGACATGGATCATTCAATCTGCAAAGACATTCCAAATATATTAAACCCATCGTTTCCCATCGACAGAGTGCATGGTTCAAAGAACGCCAAAACGCAGTACGGCAGCCGGGGCGGCCACTGGCGCAACTCGGAAGCGCGAAAGTTCAGCCGAGACAAAGTGACCCAGACAGACCCATATCGAAAGATCCATCTCTCTTCCTTCTCTCCGTCCACCAGATCCCCGCCTCCCTCGAACCGCCCCAATTACCCAACCGTCTATTCGCAGGGGTGGGAAATTCAACAAAATAACAATACAGGCAACATGGTCCGCCGATTCTCCAAGTTCCCTAAGAAGCCCGCCGACTGGGTCGCTCCCTCGGCGCCGCTGGCTGAGCGGAAGCAGGTATTCCTGTACGTTACCACCGCTCTCTTTCTTGGACGAAAAACGCTTTGTTGGGGATGATATTATAGGTGTTCAGCTGGGGTAGGTAGAAAAAAGTTCTAACTGGTTGATTTCTACAGGCCCAGGTTCACAATCGCCCTGATGCGCACGCCCTTCCTCCCCCCCCGCTACGCCTCCTTCTACGTCCCGTTAAACTTCAACAAGCTCGACATCCGCGACTACCTCCAGCGCGCGTACGGAGTCGGCGTCCTCAGCGTGCGCAGCTACGTCGAGCAACAGAAGGTCACTCGATTGCGGCCGGCGGGCAAGTTCGGATACGGCAAGTTGCGACGGCCGATGGCGAAGAAGAAGATGACCGTTGAGATGAAGGAGCCGTTTGTGTGGCCTGAGGCGCCCAAGGATATGTCTGCGTATGTTTTTCTCCCTTCCTTTCTGCTCCATATCTATGAAGCTATTGGTATTGGTTGACTTGACTGTTTTGACTGACCTTTTTTTTTCTACAACAACAGCTGGGAACAAGAACAATTCCACAACACCTCCAAATACCAAAAAGACATGCAGCGCACCCAGCGCCCCGACGCCGGCATGGAGCCCAACAAGGACGCACGCAAGGAGTACGAAGCCGACGCGAAGAAGTTACTCGAGGGCTCGAAGGCCTGGAGGCCGACTTGGCAGGCGCTGGGACTCAACTATGACCGCACAACCATCGGGAAACGGTCATGAGTTGGGGAGTAGCTAGTCTGGGATGATTTTCTTCTGTCTTTGCCTCGTTCCCGCCTTTAAAGAGGGGGAAGTGTTGGGCTATGTCTCTAGAAAAGCGGGTTCTTCGTTTTCTTTTCCATTTCCTTTTTGTTCCCTTTTTTTTTCGCTTTTCTTTTTTATACAACTGGTTTACGTCCCCTGTTGAGTGAGGGAGTTGAGACAAACGGCTCTTGTGCCTCTGTATTATATTCTGTGCTACATAGATGAACGAGGATTTTCAACTATATTGGATTGAATACTCTTGCGGAAGAATTCTCTTTTCTTCAGTCTTATTCTCCGTGAACGAGGTTACACAAAGAAAGTCATTGCTAGGCTAGGCTTGCGTCTAATTAGTTTGCTTTGACATCTACCGCGGAGAATGGTTGGTTGAGTCGGGGTATTGCGATGTTGTAAAGATAAACGCTATGCACAGGTGGTAGGTAGGTAGTAGCCCAGTGGCGCCCGCAATCGAAGAGGCAGTGTAGTAATAATCAATCAATCAATCAATCAATCAATCAATCGGCAGCGCAGAATAACTACAGAAGAAGGATAGGCAAGGAATGAGTGGGGAGACAGAAACAAATGATAAACAACCGGTGGGTAAAGAACCAAAAAGAGACAGGGCAAAAGATAAGACTAGAGGCGGCTCTCCATGAAGTTGACGTGATGCTGGCCGGGCCATTGCGCATCGGGCCAGACTTGTCGGATGGCTTCCCAGATGTGTCTTATTGCATTGTTAGTATACGGACTCAACTACACTTGCTTGAAAAAGAACTGATGAGATGGGTAAACTTACTTGACGTAGATGATCTCCAGACCATCGATGACTTCCTGGGGCACATCCTTGACGTCCTTGCGGTTCTGGTAGGGCAGAAGGACGGTGTTGACGCCGGCGCGCAGAGCCCCGATCAGCTTCTCCTTGATGCCGCCGACGGGCATGACTCTGCCGCGCAGGGACACTTCACCGGTCATGGCTAGCTTCGGGGGGACGGGCTTGCCTGCGAACAGGGAGATCAAACCGATGGTGTGGGCGAGACCCGCGGAGGGACCGTCTTTGGGGATCGCGCCGGAGGGACAGTGGACATGCAGGCTGCGGCTCTTCATGACGTCCTCGTTGGGGTCGGACGTCAAGCCCAGCTCGAACGAGTGCGCCTTGACCCACGTGAGCGCTACCTCCACGCTCTCCTTGAGCACGTCGCCCAGCTTTCCGGTAAGCTGCACGCGCCCGTTCCCGGGCATGTCGGCCACTTCAATGAAGAGGATGCTGCCTTGGCCTCCGGTGGAGTATGCGACGAGGCCGGTGACGACGCCGGGCCGGCCGTGCTTCTCGGTGATCTCTTCGTCGAAGCGCTCGATCCCCAGGATCTCTTCCAGGTCGTCGACGGTGACCACCGGGTTGTAGGTCTCGGGTCGGCCGAGATCGCTTGCGTCTGCATACTGGACAGCCTTGTAGCGGCAGACTGAGCCAAGCTCCCGCTCGAGGTTTCGAACACCGGATTCTCTAGTGTAGGACGTGGTGACTTTGTCGATGACCTCGTCGGAGAGAGTGACCTGACCGTCCGAGAGCCCGTTGGTTCGGATCTGCTTCGGGATCAGGTGCCGCTTCGCGATGTGTCGCTTCTCAACGGTGGTGTAGCCGGCCAACGAGATGGTCTCCATCCGGTCAAGCAGCGGTGCAGGGATTGTGTCGAGGGAGTTCGCCGTGGCGATGAAGAGGACCTTGCTCAGATCGAGCGGAATGTTGATGTAGTGATCCGAGAACGTGTGGTTCTGCTCAGGGTCCAAGACCTCCAGCATGGCTGCTGACGGGTCCCCTTGGAAATTGGAACCGCCAACCTTGTCAATCTCATCGAGCAGGAACACCGGGTTGGCGACGCCGACCTTCTTGAGGCCGTTGACGATCAACCCCGGCATGGCGGCCACGTAAGTTCTCCGATGGCCTCGAATCTCGGCCTCATCTCTAACACCGCCCAAAGAGATGCGATGGAATTTGCGACCAAGAGATGCGGCGACTGACCGTGCCAGACTGGTCTTACCGGTTCCAGGGGGACCAACCAACAGCAGGATGGGTGACTTGTCAGTCAAGCGCCTCGACTGCAGAAGATGCAGCTTCGCTTCAACAGAGACACGGTCCGCTTCCGACAGGGTCGGGACCTCCTTCTCCAGATCCCCTCCATCGGAGGATTCGAGTTCCTTGGTCAGGGTACTAATCTGGCGTTCAACGCCTTGATTCGTAGACTGCTTCAACCGCAAGACGGCCAGATATTCAAGAAGACGCTTCTTGATCTTTTCGAGTCCGTAGTGGTCGTCATCCAGCTGGTGCCTAGCTTTCTTTAAAGTCTCAGGACCGAGCTGATCCTCCGTCACTTTCACCCAAGGGATGTCCGCGATGTTCTCCAAATACGTCCGACAGACTCCGTATTCAGCATTGGCGGGATTCATCTTCCGGAGACGGCGCAGCTCCTTGTCGGCGATCTTCCGCGCCTCCGGAGTGAGTTCCGCGTCCCGGAGTCTCTGCTGCAATTCGTCAACTTCGTTGGTCTCTTTCTCGTCGTTGTCGTTGTTCCGTCCGGCAGCGGATCCGGGAGGAGCCAGCCCGCTCAGCCCGGCCATGGCGCGCCTCGCCAGGAGCTCACGATCGCGCGGATCCATCTGATTGATGTCAAAGGTCGAGTTGGGGGAAAAGTTGGTGTTCGACAGGGTCGTGACCTTGACGTTGCTCTTGATGTTCTGGATTTGTCGGGTGAGGACTTCGATCACTCTCTCCAACCGGGTCTTGATATCCAACGAGGCGAGGATTCGAAGCTTCTCTTCGAAGGTCGTGTCCGCGATATCGGCCATGAAATCGGCGAGTCGCCCCGCCTGGGACACTTCGGTCTTGCTGATGAAGAGCTCGAATTTACGGGCGATGAGCGGAGACAGCCGGGTCGTTGAAGAAGGCAGCAAGGAAGAGAGGCGTAGCAAAGTCAGAAGCTCTCGCGAAATCTGTCGTAATTGCTGAAAGAGTTCCGCGGACTCGGCATCGGTCGGGATCGAATCTACACAAAGGCGCGGTCATGGTGAGTTATAGATCTCATAGGTCTTGGAGGGGGCATTCAAGAAGTACCTTGATCATCATGCACGAGCGTCTCTGCCTCGAAAAACGGCCGCTCCTTCAGCACACGCTTGATCGTGAAACGCTGCATGCCTTGAACCACCAGCGACGGCTCCGAATAGGCACGACGCTGGACGCCAATCACCTTCCCCACCGTGCCAAATTGGTACAGATCCTCCTTCCTCGCCTGACCGGCATCGATGACGTCGTAGTCTTCCTTCTTGGCATCATCCAAACTCCCATTATCAATCAGATGTTGGCCATCCTTGCTCAGGAAGGGGGACCCAAGCGGAACGCATCCGAATGCGATGACGTTCCCATCGCGTCTCCCCGCAGACGTACGGTCGAGGATAGACGAGAGGAGATTGGCTAGATCCGGTCGATTGGAGACGGGGATCCGAAGCGTCACTCCAGGCAGGAGAACCGAGCCTTTGGGAAGCGGAACCAGCGACAACTTGGTCGTTCTCCCGTTGTTGGAACCCATGTCGGTCTGCCAGGTCCGAGCACAACAGGTTCTGGATACGAGGGCAAAATGGTTAATTTCAAAAGACAAGGGGAAAGAGAAAGGGAAGGGCAGGGGAGGGTGTTCTCGACAGGGATAGACACACGTGGTAGACTGTAGAGGGTTGTAGTGGTGGTTGTTTATAAGACTAAGTGGTAGGAGGAGTCAAAAGGTTCCAGAACCCCATAGATGAAGGCCGTGACTCTGGGGGAGCGATTGATTGATAGATAAGCCGTGCTGTAGCCGAGGTTCGCATGGCCGTACGTCAGTCCGGCTAGCCCGATGATTCCTACCCAATTACTTCCTTTGCAAATAGATATTTAGCAACTATATGATTAAAAACTCCAATAGAAATCATCTCCTGTAATCATTGTTGTTTTTACTGAATTTTTATTCATTTTCTGGATATCCACATGGAGTGATCAGACCATATCGCTGCAACGGACTATCCTGTGATTGTTCCGGCAACAATACGCCACAATAAGAAACAGTGGCAAATACCAGCAATTACCGGTTTCCGACCCCCCCTCGGCGGTAATATTACCGAACCTACTAACTATGACTAACTTTGGAGTACTTGAAACTAAATAACTTACATTATCGATAACTCTCTAGATAGTCAGTTACTTGGAAGTCGTCGTCTTTGTTTGAGAATAAATCTTCCAGTCTATTCCAGAACCCAATAGACTACTGATTCCGATTCCGATCCTACCCCCCTACCTCCCTATCGCTCCAACATGGCATCTGCCCCGCCTCCCACCTCCAGCGCCGCGAACCCCGCTGCGCAGAAAACCTTCACCATCGGCACCCGCAGTTCTAAGCTCGCCCTCTACCAAACAAACCAGGTGCAGGCCGCCTTGAAGGAAGCATGGCCGGATTGCGAATTCAAGATCCTGTCGCGCGAGACGGCCGGTGACCTGAACACCGTCATCGCGCTGCGCGAATTCACGACGAAAAACTTATGGACCCAAGAGTTGGAGGAGCTTTTAATGGCGGGCGAGGTGGATTTGATTGTGCACTCGCTGAAAGGTAGGTTTCATATATTTTTTTTCTTGAGAATATAGGAGGATCGAAGCACAGCTGACCGTGGGAAATAAATAGATGTACCGACTCTCCTCCCTCCCTCGTGTATCCTGGGCCCGATGTTGAAACGAGAAGATAGCCGCGATGTGCTGGTCATGAAGAAGGGTCTTCCCAATATGAGCTTCGCCGAGATGCCCGAGGGGTCGGTGGTCGGCACTTCATCCATCCGTCGCACTGCTCAGTTGGCGCGGAAATACCCCCACCTCAAGGTCATCGATGTGCGTGGCAACATCGGCACGCGGTTGGCGAAGCTGGATGCTGAGGACAGCCCGTTCACCTGCATTATCTTAGCGGCTGCGGGGTTGCTCAGATTGGACCTTGGAGACCGAATCTCCCAGTATTTGGAATCTAAGACTGGTGGGATGCTGTATGCGGTCGGTCAGGGTGCGCTGGGGATTGAGATCCGCAAGGATGATCAGCTCATGCACAGTATGTTGAGCGGGGTGGGTCACAAGGAGACGACGCTGGCTTGCTTGGCTGAGCGCAGTCTGCTGCGGAAGCTGGAGGGAGGCTGCAGTGCGCCGTTAGGGGTCGAGTCCGAGTGGGTTCGTGACGCCGATGGGTCGTCGAAGCTCAGAATGAGATCCATCGTGGTTAGCGTGAACGGCGCGGAAAGTGCCGAGGTTGAGGTTGATGGGCACATCGATTCCGCACAGGCTGCGGAAGACTTTGGTGTCACCGTGGCCAACGAGTTGGTGGTGAAGGGCGCAGGGAAAATCCTCGCGGAGATTCAGCACAATAAGCAAGCGGCTTAAGGGCCAGGTCATTCCTCTGCTGCCGTTGGTGAAGATGTGTTTATACTGCTATGATTAGACGGATACCCCGTACAAAATCAACGACACATGTTTTGCGCCAAAAAAGCGATGTATTTATTACACTTATTCCATCTGTGTTCATGTATACTATGTACTCGCAACATTATGTATCGTGTTGGTGAATGGTGGCCGGATCAGGATACACTCTTGGTACATATGATCACATGCAGTGTCGCAGATCTATCCCTCAAATTGGAAACGGTCGCATCATATCAGATAAGTGCGCCAGAAGGCAGATAATGTTTTCTCCCCGTATCGACATAGTGGAGTCCACAACCGCCAGGCAGATCAGCCTCTATTCAGCGTATTGCCAGAGCCTCTGGGGTTCGCCTCGGTGAACTCGTCCCAGTCTCGTGCTTTCATGGTCTCTTCGTCAGCCTTATCCATATCGTCCTCGTCAACCTCAGGCGGTATGCCAGATTGTTCCCCTCCGCCCTCAATGACGTTTCCTCTCCTGTGCTCCTCGTCGAGATACTCGTCAATGGTCATCGTAGGCAGGTTATGTCCGGAGCGGAAAACGCCCTGCTGGAGCTGCGTGCGGCGATCGAGCAACGTAAACGGCTGCATTGGTTTCCCTTCCTTACTCAAGATCGGCCCGAACTTGCCTCCCTGTAGAAGTTGTGATATGGGAGGGTCCAGCCGCTCGGAATAAGCTGACTCTCCCTCTTCGTTTCGTCTTCGCGTATCGTCCTGGTGCTGTTCTCCGGGTTTTGGCAAATTGCGCATACTCGACAGCATCGTTAGTTCTTGGGAGAGGAGATCCAGCGTCTGGAATGTTTGGTGGATGTACAGATCGATCTCGGCGAGGTAGAGCCGTCGAACGTCATCGTCGTCGCTTTGGAGGGTACTTTGATTATTGGATAAATACTAGAAAATGTCAGCGACGATTTCGCTTTCCAATCGCGGTCCAGCAAACAACCAACCTCTAGCTTTTGTTTCAGCTCCTTCTCTTCCCGAAACCTGTTTATCTTGGTCTCTCTGCGCGCGGCGGCATCGTTCGCTAGGACTAGAGTGAAAGAGCGAGGGTTGGCCGTATATCGCTCGTAGAGCTTCTTGTCTTTGTCATTTAGGATGTCGTAGTGGTAAAGTCGGGTAAGGAATCGTTCGTAGTTCTGCAAAGCAGTCATGAGAGTAGCTTCGCGGTTCGAGTTATAGGATCTTTGGAGGAGGTCCGCAAGAAGATATTCTACTGTGAGATATCTGCGAAAAGCAAAGAAAAGGACATTAGCCACAGGCACCATTTATTTACCAACGATGGGTCGAATTACTGTAGGTCCCCCGTTGCGATATCGTCCAGCGGTTCGTTGGAGCTGAATAGCGACAGCATCTCAACTTGTCGCTGGCACTCTTTGAACTTGGCTATTGTTTCGTTGACATCATTGCGATAACCGTCTGTATTGGAGTCCGGTCGGTGCTCCAAGTCAGTCTTCTCTGCTTTTGCAGCAACAAAGAGGGATCGCAGGCTCTGAGGCTGCTCCATTGTGATCGGTTGGGTGAAATAGGCCAGAAATGATGATTGATGCAAGGACAAGCACTCGTGGGGGACGCGGTGCCGATCGAGCTGATGCAGAAATCATAGCTGGGTCCGCCCCGCGGAGCCCGGGAGCTGGGGCCAACCAGCCCCGCCTTGGCTGGCAATGTTTACAGGAACATGGTCTCTAGAAGTACTATGGAGGGCCGTTATTATTTTATTTTCGAATGATCTTATTTGATAGAATTTGACTATAGAGATTCAGCTTTTGGACATAAGAGTATATGATACACGAGAGACAGAATTATGTCGCATTACTATTAGATATATATATAATGCTTATGGTTTGTCCACCCGTTTGCCTACAGTAGAAGTAAATGATAAGGCTATACTGCCGACACTGACTTGCCTATTTGTTATTCGCACTTTACTTCACTCACTTTACCCTCACTCACTCTAGGTCTTCTTTCCATCTTCTCAACTTCTGTCATCATCTCTCTTTCTAAGCTGAATGAACATTTCCAACTCTCCCATCTCCCTAGCCAACTTTCCCAACAGACAGCAGATAGAACTACGATGCCAGAGAACGCAGAAGCAGAAAGCGCTGAGGCAAACGACTCCAAAGAGGACCAGACTCCCCATGAGTCAGTGCCAATAATACTCCCTGAGCGACCGTTGAGATCTGCTCGTGTTGACGGCGATGGGGATGACAACACTGAATCGGATGAAGAGGAAGTTGAGGGGCCCTCTGAGCCGAAGGATGCTGTTCAGCGACGAAGACAGCAGAATGCCAAGTTCCAAGAATTGTGAGCATCTAAAGATCTTCAGCTTTCTGTGTCACGATAGCTCATCCATTTGCAGGCTCTGCCGACTAGCTACTACCGAGAACGTCACGAATATTAGATCGAGTTCTACAGATTTCCCTCGGACTTCCATCTCTACTACGGATTTGACTGCAAGCAAAGAAGCCAACAATGGGGCTCTTGATCCGAGAGAGTACCAGATAGAACTTTTTGAAAAAGCCAAAGCACAAAATACCATCGCCGTGCTCGATACAGGTACTGAGCTATAATGTGGTCTACCTACATCTCAAGAAACTAATCTAGCTGTAGGTTCGGGAAAAACGCTGATCGCAGTCTTGTTGATCAAACATATCATGCATAACGAACTAATTGATCGGGCTGATGGAAAACCTCACCGCATCTCCTTCTTTCTGGTATACGCACTGACTATAACACCCTACTGGCTGCAGCTGATGTTGTGGTAGGTTAATAGTGTCACACTTGCGTTCCAGCAAGCCACAGTGTTGCGCAATAATCTAGATCAACAGGTTGCCCATTTATATGGGGCCATGGGCACTGACCATTGGAATGAACAAACCTGGCGCGAGCATTTCAAGAACAATATGGTGATAGTCTGTACCGCGGAGATATTGAACCAGTGTCTACTGAATGCATTTTTCAAAATTGAGCAGATCAATCTGCTTGTTTTTGATGAAGCACATCATACGAAAAAGGAACATGCGTACGCGCGGTGAGTATCATCGGGATCGTATGAGCAGCATTATGGTCTGACTCCTCAGCAGCATTATCAGAGATTCATACCTCAAAACCCCCATCGCCAATCGCCCAAGAATCTTCGGAATGACTGCATCGCCGATCGACACTAAAGGTGACATCATAGCGGAAGCGATGTGAGTATGATCTTCGCCATAGGCACGTCCTGCTCACATTCAATAGGAGGCTTGAAACGCTACTGGACAGCAAGATCGCTACAACTTCGAAGCTCACTCTGATGCGACAGGTTGTGAGCCGCCCCATTGAGATAACATGGGAGTATGACCGCCTTGGGTTGCCGTTTCAGACCGATCTACATAAGCTCGTTGAAAGTCGTTTTGGCGACGTTGCTTCTCTCGAGCCTATTTTGAGATTTTCTTTACAGGCAAGTTCCGAGTTAGGCATCTGGTGCGCTGACCGGGTTTGGCAACACGCTCTCTCGGATGAAACCCTGCCCAGGCTCGAGGGCAAGATAAAAGTAGCCCAAGGCGATGCATTTTCTGAAAAGCTGGAGAGAGAGATATCCCGAGTTAGAGAAGCCCAAGATCTTATCAAAAAGCATGGATCCAGTGATCTTCGAAGCGTCAGTGATTTAAGTCCCAAGGTACAGGTCCTTCAGAATCAACTTGGACATCATTTCAGTCAAAAGAGAGAAACCAAGTGCATAATTTTTACACAAAGGCGCTACACGGCCAGGATCCTTTTCGAGCTATTTTCGGTCCTGGATATGCCCCATCTTCGGCCTGGACTGCTCATCGGCATTCGAGCCAGTGACATTGGTGGGATGAACATAACCTTCCGTCAACAGTTCCTTGCTTTGATGAAATTCAGAGACGGAGATATCAATTGCCTGGTGAGCCGCATTTCGCATGGGTCTTCATGTCGATCGCTGACAATCATCAGTTTGCTACTTCAGTAGCCGAGGAGGGATTGGATATTCCAGACTGTAATCTAGTCGTAAGGTATATGCTACGCAGACACGGTTCCCGTTGGATTATACTAACTTATCAGATTCGATCTATATGATACGTTGATACAATATGTGCAAAGTCGAGGCCGTGCCAGACGTTCAGATTCCACGGTACGTAGCCCTATTCAACCCTGCATGAAATCCGTTGACGGAACCCTGCAGTATGTGAACATGGTGGAAAAGAACAATACAGATCATGAGAGACGACTAGCTGAAGCTCGGGACTCCGAAGTACTTACACTACCAGTGCTCATAACTTGCGCGCTGTTCTGACTTTGTCCTAGAAAGCAATGCGGAGATTTTGCGAGACACTCCCAGAAGACCGTATTCTCCTCGGAAATGACGACCTGCACTCAGTTCTTCAAAAACACGAAGGACAGAGGATTTTCACCGTCAAGACAACAGGCGCAAAGCTGACATACTATTCAGCTATAACAGTGCTTTCACGCTACGCCAGCTCTCTAGTACGTACCACCTTCCCAGAATGTCTTTTCTCTATACCTAACCTTGGGACGGCATGTAGCAATATGAAAACGATTTGACGGCCCAAGTCATGTACGTGGTGCTTCCCGCTTGTAACGCATATACTTGCGAGGTTATCCTACCAGAGAAATCTCCTGTTAGAGGACTCACTGGCTCCCCGGCCTTGAAGAGGTGCACTGCAAAACAAGCAGCCGCATTTGACACCTGCCTTCTACTCCGAAAACACCAGTTGCTTGATGATAATTTCAATTCAATTTATCGCAAGCGTTTACCTCTGATGAGAAACGCAAAGCTGGCTATTACTTCCAAGCGGGCAAACATGTATGATATGTTGCCGAAGTCATCGTTTTGGAACAACAAACAAGACGTGCTTCCGGATGTGCTTTTTGGAACAGTTATCACGCTCAATCCTTCCAAGAGACTTAGTCGAAACCACCGATCCATCATCTTGTTGACTCGGGAGAGGCTGCCAGAGTTCCCGCCTTTCCCAATTTTCCTTGATGCTGATGTAGAGACTATAGTTGTCTCATTTCCTCTTGGAAAATCTCTACTATTTTCCGCGGAGGATCTGAACCATCTTACAGAGTTTACCTTTCGCGTGTTCCATGATGTGTTTCACAAAGTTTATGATCAAGAACCCGAGAAACTGCCTTACTGGCTTGCGCCGGCAAATTCGCAAGCCACATTCCAAAAGGACGAGCATCCGAGAAATCTAGTTGATTGGGAAATATTATCTTTTGTGCAAAGCTTTGACAAAAACTATGTCCTCCAAAGCAATGACTCGTCTATGTTAGATCGATTCGTCTTTGACCCGTGGGACGGCAGATACCGCTATTTTACCACAGCGGTTGAACGTGGGTTGAAACCTTCCAGTGCGCCACCGCCATACATACCACGCCGCAGACACATGGAGAATATCATGGGATACTGCTTGAGTCTTTCCAAGAACGGGAGAGCTAGGTTCTTCTCGAAATGTGATTGGAACCAACCTGTCTATCAAGCAGAGCTTGTGCGTCTTCGGAGAAACCTCCTGGACAAAATGACGGACAAAGAGAAAATGACAGAAACACGCTGTGCCATTTGCATAGAGCCTTTGAAAGTCTCTGCGGTAGGCGCTCCCAAATAAAATGATTCCTCGGGATGATTGCTGATGGGTCCTTTTGCAAAAGATTCCAGCGGCGTTGGCTTCGACATTTCTTGCATTCCCCGCGATAATAAGCAGGTTTGATTCCTACCTGGTTGCTCTTCAGGGTTGTGACATGCTTGAACTGGTTGTGAAGCCAGAATATGCCCTGGAAGCCTTCACGAAAGACTCCGATAATACAGACGAACACAGGGCGCAGCAGATTCACGCCCAAAGAGGAATGGGAAAAAATTATGAGCGTCTAGAGTTCCTAGGCGACTGTTTCCTCAAAATGGCCACTTCCATATCACTCTACGCCCAGAATCCTGACGATGACGAATATGATTATCATGTGAGCCGGATGTGTTTGATTTGTAATAAGAATCTCTTCAACTCAGCATTGAAAAACGAGCTGTACAAATACATTCGCAGTCGAGGCTTCTCAAGGCAAGAACAAGTCCCTTATATATCTCATAAAGCCAGCTAATTCGTGCTGGTAGACATGCATGGTACCCCGACGGCCTAACCCTCTTGCGAGGCAAAGACCATAGCAAAAAAGCGCTGAGCGAACAGAAGCATGCCCTGGGAGAGAAGACAATTGCGGACGTTTGTGAAGCGGTGATAGGGGCATCATTGCTCTGTGGGGGCCCCGACCATCGGTTCGACATGGCCGTTAAAGCCGTCAGTGCACTTGTCAACAGTCCAGACCACAATGCTTCGTGCTGGGAGGACTACCTTTCCCGTTACAACATACCCCCATATCAGACTCAGGAGCCCGATGGTTTTGAGATAGACCTCTGCCAGAAGATTGAGAAGAAACTGGGATATCGGTTTAAATATCCTCGGTTATTGCATTCAGCGTTCACACATGCCTCCTGGCCACGGGCTTGGAGTAGAGTCCCATCCTACCAGCGACTTGAGTTCCTCGGTGATTCGCTCCTCGACATGGTTTGTGTAGAGGATCTATTCCACAGGTTTCCGGACAGAGATCCCCAATGGCTCACAGAGCACAAGGTATGCATGTGCGGTACCTGATCAAGCCACTAACTAATGTACCACGTACTATTAGATGGCCATGGTCTCAAACAAGTTCCTTGGAGCTCTAGCAGTGAAGCTAGAGCTGCACAAACACTTGAAATACTTCAGTAACCCGCTGCAAAACCAGATAATGCATTATGTCGAACAAGTTCAAGCCGCGGAAGCAGAGAGTGAAGGCGTTGTTGATTATTGGGCTACCACCAAAGACCCGCCCAAGGTAAGAAGTCTTGAGCCGATACGTTGAAGGTCTGGCTGATGGGACCGCAGTGCCTGTCAGATATGGTGGAGTCTTATCTAGGGTCGATATTTGTTGACTCCAACTTCCACTTCGAAGTCGTAGAAGCATTCTTCCACCGTCACGTAAAGCCGTATTTCCTTGACATGGCAATATATGACACCTTTGCCAACAAACACCCGACGGTAGGATTGTGTGGACTCTCTTGTGCTACTCGGTATATGTTATGCTAACATTGAACCTAGACATTCCTGCAAAAGAAGCTAGACAACGAATACGGCTGCACCAGTTATTGTTTCAAATCAGGGGAGATCCCAGTCGGGGATGGCGGCCCAGCCTGTATCTTAACTGCGATCATTGTGCATGACTTTATCCTATCCGAGGCTACAGCAACTTCGACTCGCCATGCAAAAGTCAAAGCGAGTGAGAAAGCGTTGGCTCAGCTGGAGGGTATTTCCTCGTCAGAGTTTCGCACCAACTACCATTGTGATTGTCGAGAGACAGGTACCTGCGACACTAATGACATTGGGACTGCGATCTAATTTACCCTTGAAGCAAGGGATATCAAGAAGTTACTGGGCCTTCTTTGTTTCGTAGTCCATAACCCAAGCCAAAGACGTCCACTTGGAGCGCTTCATGAAAGTTAGACTGAGGGACGAGGGAGAAGGTACACTAAAAGGAACACCTCTTCTTTGCATTCGATTAAATCATAGAATGTAGTCCACAATAGTAGCCATCCATGGGTTTGGGTTGGATGTGGAGCATGCGGACCGCAGGACGTTGTTTGACTGTTTGACCCTAAACCCCATCAGGATTAGGGCCAAAGTCACCCCTGAAGAGAGTCCCAAAGTAAACCGACCGAAACACGTCGGCCGACCGCGTGAATCAACCGCAGATTAGAGACCACTGATCAGCGTATCAGGTTAGAAACCGCCAACATAATATGATTGCCGTTTGATAACCCTCCTTTCCCCGACTCTTCTTCTCTTTTCATCACAACTCAAATCTTCTACCGCCGCCGTTATCGCTGTCGTGTCGTCTTGTTTTCTAACCCGCTCCCGAGCCGACGTCGCGATCTGCCCGCAATCAACATAATACTCACTATTGACCTACGTGACTTTTTTGAACACCCCAACCCACACCTATCGATGGTGACTGCGTGTCGCTCATAATAACGGCCAAGAACCATGGAGGTCGCCGCCGGGGTCCCGAACGGTGTTTCGGCACCAACCCAGGTGTCTTCTGTGGATTCGAGCGCGGTGATTCAGTATCTGGTGGACGTTCTCCAGGTGACTTTGGGGGCTCTGAGAACTGAGCTGGAAAGTCCTGGGAGTCTGCTGTCTGATAAAAAGCGCGGCGAGACCGAGCAGCGATGTACGCGATTCGCTTTGGAGTCACAGGTGGCTCTTTATGTACAGAAGGATTTCGTGGCTTCCGAGGAGACCAACGGGGCAGATGATGGTGAAGGTACGCGGTTTTATACTGTCGCATTCGGTAGATAAGCGCAGCATGGTTAACATCTTGCAGCATCGTCACCTAAGTATATCTACAGTCTCTCCGCCCAGATTTCGTCCGCTTCAACGACCGTGGCCTCTGTGGCCTTCATTAAACGTCCCGCCCCGATCGACCCCGCGCTCCCGATATCGTCGCAAATCCAAGTGATGAACCTTCCGGGTTTGGCATCCCTCAGTAATGCTCAGGCCCAGCAAGGGACGTCTCTGTCGCCGTATGAGATTCTGCACCTGCTGGTACACCACGGGCTGAGTCCCTACTTCGAGGCCTACACACGCAACCAGGAAGTGATCGGTGGCGGGTTGAAGCCTAGGACAGACACAGAGGTTAAGACCGGTGTTCCGGGGACCAAGAAGAAATTCGCGGAGCTTGAACTCGGGCTTCTCCACTTGCAACAGAATGTTGAAATCCCGGCTCTTAACCTGCCGCTCCATGAAGTCGTCCAGGCTGCTTTGGCCGAGGCGGAAAGGCGATCGGTCCGGCCTTCGGTGGAGCTCATCGACCACACGATTCTCGAAAACAGTGCTTTTATCAACAGCATCCAGAATACTGTCAATGCCTGGATCAGGTCTATCCAGACAATCACCAAGATGTCTCGGGACGCCGACAGCGGGTCAGCGGCCCAGGAAATCAACTTTTGGCTTTCGATGGAAACTGCGCTGGAAGGGATCGAGAACCAACTGCGTGGTGACGGCGTGCAACTGACGATGGATATTCTCAAGCATGCGAAGCGTTATCAAGCTACTTTGAGTTTCGTTGCTGACACGGGCTTGCGCGAGGCAACTGACTTGGTCCAGAAGTACAACCAGCTCATGCGGGATTTCCCCCTCGACGAACTTCTGTCGGCTACGTCTTTGCAGAAAGTTCAGGAGTCTCTGAATCTGATCTTTGTGCACCTCAACAAGAAGCTGAAGATATGCCCCTACCCCATCAAGCGCGCCCTCGCACTTGTTGAAGCTATCTCCGGCGACCTGGACTCCCAGATCCATTCCTTACTCCATGGTCGGACAATTTTGCACCTGGATTACCGCGAATTCCGCTCCTTGATGAAGACCGCCGGGGCCATCTGGCGGACCTGGGACGAGAACTTGAAGGAATTTACCAACGTTGCCCGCGAGTCTACGAGACGACGTAACGAGAAGTTCATTCCCATCAAGATCGCTGCCCGCCACGAGAAGACCCAGGAGAGACTGAAGTACATCAACACATTCCGAGTCAACCACGAACAGCTGCAAAGGACGATCGTCAATGTTCTTGGACCCAAGAGCTCGTCTACCGGAGATGCAGGTGCTGGAACCACCTCCGATGGCGCGGTGATTGTCGAGGAGATTGGTGATGTGGACGCAGTCGAAGAGGTTGCCGAGGCTTATGCTGCTCTGAAGAATGTGGATGTACTGGATGTAACTCCCGAAGGCACCCAGCTTTGGATTCAAGAAGAGATTGCATACAATGAGCGCACATCTCGGGTAGAGAACTCGATTATCGCTCGTCTGCGCGATCGTCTCGCGACTGCGAAGAACGCAAACGAGATGTTCCGAGTTTTCTCCAAGTTCAACGCGCTTCTCGTGCGCCCGAAGATCCGCGGTGCCATTGGAGAGTACCAAACTCAACTGATTGAGAACGTGAAGCAGGATATCTTATCTCTGCATGAGCGTTTCAAGCAGCAGTATGGTCACTCCGAGGCGCATGCCATGTCCCAGCTGCGAGACCTTCCTCCTGTGTCGGGTGCAATCATCTGGGCTCGCCAGATCGAGCGGCAGCTGAACGGTTACATGGGTAAAGTGGAGGACGTGCTGGGCGAGGACTGGCACTTGCACTCAGAAGGCCAGAAGCTACAGACCGAAAGCAACCTGTTCCGCAAAAAGCTGGACACTCGGCCCGTCTTCGAGTCATGGCTATACGACGTGCAAAGACGGCACATTACCATCTCGGGCCGCCTGTTTAATATCACGCGAAATCGTGCTTCGGGGAATACTCTGGACCTTACAGTCAATTTCGACGCCCAGATTATCGCCTTGTTCAAGGAGGTTAGGAACCTGATCTGGCTCAATTTCCAGGTTCCCCATGCCGTGAATAGTATCTCCAAAGAAGCGAAGCGCGTGTACCCCTATGCCATCAGCTTGATGGAGAGTCTCCGTACGCTGCTGCAGACCAATCGCATCATCGAATCATTGGAAGACGCCGAGATTCTAATGAATGGTTACGTAAATGATGCGCAGGGTATGATTGTGAAGGGTGTCCCTTTGCGATGGGAGTCGTTTGTCCACTCGTATGAGCTTCATGTCAAGCAACCCGGATTGGCAAATGGCGCCATTGACTCTGCTATCCCTAGTAGGGGCGAGAGCAAACACGTCCAGTTCGTCCGCGAATTTGCAGGCTCAGCATCCGTTCTTCAGTCCAAGACGGCTGTTCTGACCTCCATCAATGACAGCATCCAGAAAGACATCCTTGACCTGAAGACATGTCCCTTTGAGTCATCCGCGTTCAAGCAACGCTTGGACTCCATTCAGGTCGCCGTTGACAAACTGAACCTGGAGAACTACGTCAACCTCGGCTACTGGGTTACTGACTTGAACCAGAGAATCGAGACCATTCTTAGTGAGCGCCTGCATCGCGCAATCCGCGAGTGGATTAATACATTCCTGGAGAGCAAAGATGGACCGCAGCCACTGCAATTGCAGAGTGCAAGCCATAACCCCGTGACTGGCGAAGTCGAAGCTCCTGCCTACAAGGTCGAGTTCTCTGAGCTTGTGCATGAAATTTCGATGCGGAATCAGGTCTTGCATCTTGATCCTCCCTTGCAGTTTGCTCGTGCAAGCTGGTTCTCGCAGTTCGACAACTGGCTTGGCGTTATCTGTAACCTCGAGAGGATCAAGTCGTCCCGTTATTCGATCTCGATTAACGTGCAGCAACTTGACATATCCGAGTCCTGTTTTGCGACTCTCCCGCAGCATTGCACCAACGAGCTAAACCAAGTATACAATGCGATCGAGGACAGATTGAAGGAGGTGTCTGGGTACGTTGACAAGTGGTTGCAGTTCCAGTCTCTCTGGGATCTGCAGTCTGAACAGGTTTACGATATCCTGGGCGACGATCTATCTCAATGGCTCCAACTTCTCCAAGAGATCCGGAAGAGCCGAGCCACGTTCGATACTACGGAAGTTAGCCGGTCGTTTGGCAATATCAAAATCGACTACGAACAAGTCCAGACCCGGGTCAATGCCAAATACGACCAGTGGCAGCATGAAATTCTTCTCAAATTCGGATCGAAACTCGGAGGCCGAATGAGGGAAGTCCACTCTGACATCGCCTCCGCTCGACGGGACTTGGAGGGCCAAACGTTGGAAGCTGCTTCCACAGCACACGCTGTCTCCTTTATCACCATCGTTCAACAGTGCAAGCGGAAGGCCAAGGTTTGGGAGCCAGAAGTCGATCTCTTCCGCCAAGGTCAAGCCACCCTTGCCCGGCAGCGTTACCAGTTCCCCAACGACTGGTTGCATGTTGAAAATGTCGATGGCGAATGGGCAGCCCTCAATGAACTGCTTGCCCGTAAGAGCAAGATCGTCCAAGACCAGACAGAGGGTCTGCGGGCCAAGATTGCCGCCGAAGACAAAGTAATCAACGACAAAATCGCTGAACTCATCAGTCGGTGGGACGAAGAGAAGCCTGTGTCCGGCTCCATTCCTCCCGAAGAGGCTTCCCGTACCCTAGGCTCATTCCAGACTCGTCTCGAAACCCTGCAAGGAGAGTTTGAGATGGTTTCGAAAGCGAAAGAGGCCCTGGATCTCCCAGCAAGTGGCCAGTCTTCCTTGCCAGCAATCCTTGAAGAAGTGCAGGATTTCATGTCCGTTTGGGCGGCCCTGGCCACAATCTGGGGGAGCCTCAATGATCTTAGAGAGTCTCTCTGGACCACCCTCCAGCCAAGAAAGTTGCGCCAGTCGATCGATGGCCTCATCAAAATGACCAAGGAGATGCCTAGTCGGATGCGTCAATATGCTGCATTCGAGCATATCCAAAGTGTGCTCCGACAGCTATTGAAGGTTAACCCCCTCCTATCTGACATGAAATCCGAGGCCGTGCGAGAACGACATTGGCAGAAAATCTACAAACGGCTCAAACCTGGGAAGAGGTTCTCCCTCGTCTCTCATACCCTTGGTGATGTTTGGGACCTGCAACTTGCGACGAGCGAGACCGTGATCCGTGACATCATCGCTCAGGCCCAGGGTGAAATGGCATTGGAAGAGTTCTTGAAGTCGGTCCGTGAGACCTGGCAAAACTACTCGCTCGACCTTGTCAACTATCAGAACAAGTGCCGCTTAATTCGTGGATTCGACGACTTGTTTGCGAAATGTAGCGAGAACCTGAACTCTCTGCAGGCAATGAGGCACTCTCCTTACTACAAGGAATTCGAGGAAGAGGCCTCGTCTTGGGAGGACAAATTGAATCGAGTCCATGTCCTCTTCGATGTCTGGATCGACGTTCAGAGACAATGGGTCTATCTCGAGGGTGTTTTCACCGGCAACGTCGATATCAAACATCTTCTGCCCCTTGAATCCAGCCGTTTCCAAAACATCAATTCGGAATTCTTTGCTGTGATGAAAAAGGTCTACAAATCTCCCTTCGTGCTTGATATTCTAGCCATCAACGGAGTCCAGAAGTCTTTGGAGAGATTGGCCGAGTTGCTTAACAAGATCCAAAAGGCACTCGGAGAATATCTGGAGCGGGAGCGTATGTCGTTCCCTCGCTTCTATTTCGTTGGTGATGAGGACCTTCTCGAAATCATCGGTAATAGCAACGATATCTTCCGCGTGTCCAAACACTTCAAGAAGATGTTCGCTGGTCTTTCAGGAGTTATCATGGATGACGATAACAACATTGTCGGCTTCACCTCCAAGGAGGGCGAGGAGGTGCGACTGAAGAAGGAGATTAATCTTGTCAAGACACCGAGGATCAATGATTGGCTTAGTGCGATTGAGAACAACATGAAGTTGACATTAGCGGAGCTTTTGGCCGAGGCCATTGAGCAGTTTGAGCCGTTGTATATGGCTTCTGAAGTCGACCACACAGCTTTCAATGATTTCCTTGCCAATTATCCGGCGCAGATTGTTGTCCTCTCTAGTCAAGCTGTTTGGACAAATGCTGTCCAGAAGTCTTTGGAAGAGGGCGGTGCTAACCTCAAGGACCTTTACGCTTCCCAAGTGCGAGTGCTTGAGTTGCTCGCTGCTACCGTCCTTGGCGATCTGGATGCAATCAACAGAAAGAAGTGCGAGCACATGATCACAGAGTTCGTTCACCAGCGTGATACCATCTCCAAGCTCATAGAAACCAAAGCCACTACCCCAACGCACTATCTGTGGCTGCTCCAGATGCGGTACGTTTACCAACCCGACGGCGATTTCCTTCAAAGGCTATACGTGCACATGGCCAACGCGAAACTGCACTATGGATTCGAATATCTCGGTGTTCCTGAACGCCTCGTTCGCACCCCTCTTACCGATCGTTGTTTCTTGACCCTCACTCAAGCCTTGTGCCAGCGACTGGGTGGTTCTCCTTATGGCCCAGCTGGTACTGGTAAGACGGAGTCAGTGAAGGCTTTGGGCTTGCAGCTCGGACGCTTCACTCTCGTTTTCTGCTGTGACGACACATTCGACTTCCAAGCCATGGGCCGAATCTTCCTGGGTATCTGCCAAGTAGGCGCCTGGGGCTGCTTTGATGAATTCAATCGTCTCGAGGAAAGAATCTTGTCAGCAGTCTCTCAGCAGATTCAGAACATCCAGATCGGGCTACGGAACAGCGAGCTCGACGGCAATGCCCAAATCGAGCTTGTTGGAAGGAAGTTCAATGTCAACCTGAACACTGGCATCTTCATTACCATGAACCCTGGCTACGCGGGACGTTCTAACCTCCCCGACAACTTGAAGAAGCTGTTCAGAAGTGTTGCTATGTCCAAGCCCGACAAGGAACTCATTGCCGAAGTGATGTTATTCTCCCAAGGTTTCAAGCAAGCCAAGCATTTGTCGACCCAGACCGTACCTTTCTTCGACCACTGTGCCTCTCAGCTCTCAAAACAAGCTCACTACGACTTTGGTTTGCGTGCTCTAAAGAGCGTTCTTGTCAGCTCAGGAGGCCTCAAGCGTACCAGAATCGCCAACGCCAATGGTGACTTGGGCCCTGATGATGTAGTTGAACCTCAGATCATTGTGCAAAGTCTCCGAGAGACCATTGCCCCTAAGCTGGTCCGCGAGGATGTTGACAGAATGCTTGAGATCCAAGAGGAAGTGTTCTCTGGTGTCGAATACGTCGCTGCCAACTACGAGGAGCTTACAAAGGCTATTCGTGATATTGCTCGAGAGCAGCATTACATTGACAGTGACATGTGGACCACCAAGGCTTTGCAACTGTACCAGATCCAATGCATTCACCATGGTGTGATGAATGTGGGCAAGTCAGGTTCTGGTAAATCGTCGGCATGGAAAATCCTCTTGCAGGCCCTGCAACGAGTCGAGAACATCGAAGGAGTTTCTCACATCATCGATTCCAAGGTTATGTCTAAAGAAGCTCTCTATGGTAGTCTTGACAGCACTACCAGAGAGTGGACGGACGGTCTGTTCACGGGGATTTTGAGAAAGATCGTTGATAACCTGCGTGGTGAAGACTCTAAGAGACATTGGATTGTTTTTGACGGCGATGTCGATCCGGAATGGGTTGAGAACTTGAACAGTGTCCTTGATGATAACAAGCTTCTGACCCTTCCTAACGGAGAGCGCTTGAACCTGCCTCCAAATGTTCGCATCATGTTCGAAGTTGAAAGCCTCAAGTACGCGACGCTGGCGACAGTGAGTCGTTGCGGTATGGTTTGGTTCAACGAAGACACCGTCACTCCGCCAATGATGATCTCAAACTATGTCGATTCCCTTAGGACGAGAACTTTCGAAGATTTGGATGATGATAGCGCACCTGCAGGCCAGGCGGCCGTGAAGACCCAGGATGCTCAAGATACCATCTCCGATATCATGAAGCGGCTTCTGCAAACCGATGAGCTTATCCTCAAGTCACTCCGCGAGGCCAAGAAGTACAACCATATCATGGAGTTCACGGAAACCCGCGCCCTCAATACCCTGTTCAGTCTCTTGAACAAGGCCTGCAGAGATATCCTCGAATACAACATCCAACACCTTGACTTCCCGCTGGATTATGATCAGACCGAAGCTTACGTTTCAAAGAAGCTCTTGCTTGCAGTTGTTTGGTCCTTCACCGGCGACTGCCCGCTGGGAGACCGTAAATTGTTCGGGGAGTTCGTTTCCGCTCTCACGACAACTGACCTTCCGCCCGACGGCCAGTCTTCTCTGATCGATTTCGACGTCAAGTTGCCCAAGTCGGACTGGACAAGCTGGCAGGCACAAGTACCCTCCGTGGAAATCAACACTCACTCGGTCACGCAAACAGATGTTGTCATCCCGACTGTTGATACTATTCGTCACGAGGATGTCCTTTACTCATGGCTCGCGGAACATAAGCCCTTGCTACTGTGCGGTCCTCCCGGTTCTGGTAAAACAATGACTCTCTTCGCTGCTCTCCGGAAACTTCCCAACATGGAAGTTGTTGGTCTCAACTTTTCCAGCGCCACGACCCCGGATCTTTTGATCAAGACTTTTGAGCAGTACTGCGAGTATAAGAAGACTCTGAATGGTGTCATAATGTCTCCGAGCCAGATTGGTCGCTGGTTGGTTATTTTCTGCGACGAAATTAACCTTCCTGCCCCCGACCAGTACGGGACACAGCGAGCAATCTCGTTCTTGCGCCAACTCGTGGAGCAGAACGGTTTCTGGAGAACGTCCGACAAGACTTGGGTTACTTTGGACCGCATTCAATTCGTTGGTGCTTGTAACCCTCCTACTGATGCTGGCCGTACAGCAATGGCCGAAAGATTCTTGCGCCATTCGCCTCTGATCATGGTCGACTATCCAGGAGAGATCTCGCTCACGCAGATTTATGGAACCTTCAACTCTGCAGTCCTCAAGATCCTTCCCTTGCTGCGCGGATACTCAGAGGCGCTTACAAAGGCTATGGTGCAACTCTACTTGGAGTCTCAGGCGAGATTCACTGCCAAGATCCAACCTCACTACGTCTACTCTCCTCGTGAGCTTACTCGCTGGATCCGTGGTATCTACGAGGCCATCAAACCCCTCGAAACTCTCTCTGTTGAGGGCCTGGTTCGAATTTGGGCCCATGAAGCTCTACGCCTTTTCCAGGATCGTCTGGTCGCCGAAGATGAGAGGAAATGGACCGAGGAAGCCGTGCGGCGCATCGCACTTGATAACTTCCCCAGCATTGATGAAGAACAAGCCCTGAAGGGTCCGATCCTGTTCTCGAACTGGCTGCATAAGAACTACGTGCCAGTTGAACAAGAGGAGCTGCGTGAGTATGTCAAGGCGCGTCTTCGGACATTCTGCGAAGAGGAGGTTGATGTGCCTCTCGTCCTGTTCAATGACGTCTTGGAGCATGCTCTGCGCATTGACCGAGTCTTCCGCCAACCTCAAGGTCATCTTATTCTCATCGGAGTCAGCGGAAGTGGCAAGACCACGCTGTCTCGTTTCGTGGCTTGGATGAACGGTTTGCAGGTTTTCCAGATCAAGGTTCATGGAAACTACTCGTCGGAAGACTTTGACGATGACCTGAGAACCGTCCTGCGCCGAGCAGGCTGCAAGGGTGAGAAGATTTGCTTTATCATGGACGAATCGAACGTCCTTGACTCGGGTTTCCTGGAGCGAATGAATACTTTGCTGGCGAACGCCGAAGTTCCCGGTCTTTTCGAAGGGGATGAGTTCGCTTCGCTGATGACTGCTTGCAAGGAGGGGGCGTCGCGGCAAAACCTCCTTCTCGATACCCAGGAGGAGCTTTACAAATGGTTCACGCAGCAAATTGTCAAGAATCTTCACGTTGTCTTCACCATGAACCCCCCTGAGGAAGGACTGTCCTCAAAGGCCGCCACCAGTCCTGCGTTGTTCAACAGATGCGTGCTCAACTGGATGGGCGACTGGTCAGACCAGGCACTTTTCCAGGTTGGCTCCGAGCTGACGCAGTCCGTTGACCTCGACAAGGCGAACTTTATTGCTCCCGACAGTATTCCCGTTGCGTACCGAGAGTTGAGCCTCCCTGCGTCTCACCGCGACACGGTTGTGAACTCAATGGTGTACATACATTACTCGCTGCAGAGGTTCAACCAGCGTTTGCAAAAGCAACAAGGCCGAACGACTTACCTCACACCTCGCCACTACTTGGACTTCGTTGCTCAGTATGTCAGGCTTTTCAACGAAAAGCGAGAAGACCTCGAGGAACAGCAGAGACATTTGAACGTCGGTCTTGAGAAACTTCACGACACGGTCGACAAAGTCAGCGACTTGCGCGCTAGTCTTGCCCAGAAGAAGACGCAGCTGGAAAAGAAGGACACCGAAGCAAACGAAAAGCTGCAGCGCATGGTCGCTGACCAGCAAGAGGCCGAACAGCGCAAGGCGGTCTCTCTTGAGGTACAAGTGGCCTTGGAGAGGCAAGAGAAAGAGGTAGCTAGCCGAAAGGAAGTTGTCCTTCACGATCTGGCCAGGGCCGAGCCAGCTGTGTTGGAAGCCCAGAAGAGCGTGAGCAACATCAAGCGTCAGCACCTTACTGAAGTTCGTTCCATGGGTAATCCTCCCGCCAGCGTTCGGCTTGCTCTCGAAGCCGTCTGCACTTTGCTTGGACATAAGGTGGATAGCTGGAAGACGATCCAAGGCTTGATTCGAAGGGATGATTTCATCGCCAGCATTGTCAATTATGACAACGAGAGACAAATGACGAGCAGTCACCGAGTCAAGATGCAGAGGGAGTTCCTCTCCAAGGAGGACTTCACCTATGAAAGAGTCCACCGAGCTAGCAAGGCCTGCGGTCCCCTGGTTCAATGGGTGGAAGCCCAGGTTAACTACTCAGAGATCTTGGACCGTGTTGGACCTTTGCGCGAGGAGGTCGGTCAACTCGAAGAGCGGGCTTTGCAGACCAAGGCTGAGGCCCAAGCAATCGAGAATACTATCCAAGGTCTCGAGGCCAGTATCGCTACGTACAAGGGCGAATATGCAGCACTCATCAGCGAAACCCAGGCCATCAAGAACGAGATGGAGAATGTGGAGTTCAAGGTCAACCGAAGTGTACGACTGCTTGACAGCTTGGCTTCCGAACGAACGCGATGGGAGGAGGGGAGCAGATCGTTTGAGACGCAAATCGGCACGCTTGTCGGCGATGTCATTATCGCGGCTGCATTCCTGGCCTATGCCGGCTATTATGATCAGCAGTTCCGAAAGTCCATGATTGACGACTGGGCCCATCAACTTATGCAATCCGGTATTAGCTTCAAGCCACACAATCCTATCACGGAGTATTTGTCCAACGCCGACGAGCGTCTGACATGGCAGAGCCACTCACTGCCCGTGGACGACCTCTGCACGGAAAACGCCATCGTTCTCAAGCGGTACAACAGGTACCCTCTCATCATCGACCCGTCTGGTCGCGTAAACGAGTTCTTGCAGAAAGAGAGCACAGAAAGGAAGCTCACGGTCACCAGCTTCCTGGACGACTCCTTTGTCAAACAGCTGGAAAGCGCTCTTCGTTTTGGAAACCCAATTCTCATCCAGGACGCCGAACATCTGGATCCCATCCTCAACCATGTTCTCAACAAAGAGTACCAGAAAACGGGAGGACGTGTTCTCATTCAGCTTGGAAAGCAGGAGATCGACTTTTCTCCCTCGTTCAAGTTGTTCCTGTCGACTAGGGATCCGTCTGCAACCTTCGCACCAGACGTGTGCAGCCGAACCACGTTTGTCAACTTTACTGTCACGCAGAGCAGCTTGCAGACTCAATCGCTCAATGAAGTTCTCAAATTCGAGCGACCTGATGTCGACAGGCGCCGCACCGACCTTGTCAAGATCCAGGGAGAATTCAAGGTCCACCTGCGCCAGCTTGAGAAGCGACTGTTGCAGGCGCTCAACGAGTCCCGAGGTAACATCCTCGACGACGACAACGTTATCGAGACTCTCGAGACCCTCAAGAAGGAAGCTGCCGAAATCTCGCGGAAGATGGTGGAAACCGAAGGTGTCATGACGGAGGTCGAAAATGTCATGCTCACCTACAATGTCATCGCCAAGTCCTGCAGTGCTGTGTTCGCAGTGTTGGAGCAACTCCACCATGTCAACCATTTCTACCAATTCTCGCTGCAATACTTTGTCGACATTTTCCACTCCGTTCTCCACGGCAACCCACGCCTCCGCCCCGATATGCACCATGCTGAACGGGTGGATGTCATTCTCAAGGATCTGTTTGTCACCACTTATCACCGCACTTCGCTAAGCCTTGTGCAAAAGGACCGGATTACCTTGGCCATGCTGCTCGCCCAAGCCACTCCGTACAGCATTGACAAGACTATCATCGATACCATTCTAGATGGGTCGGTTGAGGGGGCGGATCTATCGAGCACCCCCGAACAGCGGGACCAGGTCATGAACATGGTATCGAACATGTCGCTATTCAAGTCGCACTTCCAGGAGGTGTCTTCAGATCAGTGGGATCAGTTCCTGGGCGAAGAACTCGCCGAGAACCTGGTCCCTGTTGTCTGGCCTGAGAACACGGACCGCGTCAACCAGCTCCTCCGGTCGTTGTTGCTTATCAAGCTATGCAGAATGGACAGGTTCGTGCCAACTGCTGAGCGCTTCATCGAAGCAGTGTTCGGCCGCGAGTTGTTCGAAGGCAGTACAGACCTCAAGGACATCGTCAAGCAAGTCACCGCGACCACACCCATCTCTCTCAGCTCAAGCCCCGGCTTCGACGCCAGTTACAAGGTCGACGCCCTGGTGGAGCGCGAGGAAGCAACATGCGCCAACATTGCCATGGGTTCCAGCGAAGGACTCGAGAGCGCCGACAAGGCGATCAGCAACGCCGCGGCGGCAGGAAACTGGGTGCTGGTCAAGAACGTGCATCTGGCGCCTTCCTGGGTGCAGAGTCTCGAGAAACGCCTCGAGTCGATCAAACCCCACAAGGCCTTCAGACTGTTCCTTTCCATGGAGTCCAGCCCGAAGATTCCCGTCAACTTCCTGCGCGCTTCGCGCGTACTCATGTACGAGCAGCCTGCCGGTGTGCGCGCCAACATGAAGGACTCGCTGTCTTCACTGACAACTCGCGCGAGCAAGACCCCCGTCGAGAAGGCGCGCGTCTACGTGCTGCTCTGCTTCCTGCACGCTGTGGTGCAAGAACGACTCCGTTACGCGCCCACTCTCGGCTGGAAGGGCTTCTGGGAGTTCAACGACAGCGACGTAAGTCCCCACCTCACTCACCCCGCTTATCTCAAAGAACTCAAACTAACATGATACAACAGTACGAATGCTCTGCCAACATAATCGACTACTGGGTCAACACCGTAGCGCAAGGCCGCTCCAACGTCGCGCCCCAAAAGCTCCCCTGGGACATGATCCGCACGCTGGTGCGCGAAATGTACGGCGGCAAGGTCGACGACGCCGGCGACTTCCAGCAGCTCGAGGACCTCGTCAACAGCTTCCTTACCCCGGCGGCCTTCGAAGACGAGTACAAGCTTGTGTCGGGCGTCGAGAAAGACGAGTGTCTGGTTCTGCCGAGCGAGACCAACATCCAGGCTTTCGGGGAGTGGGTAAATCGTCTGCCGGAAAGAGAACCTCCTACTTATCTTGGTTTGCCGGCCAATGCGGAGAAGATGTTGCTGGTGGGACATGCGAAGAAGATGATTGAGGATTTGGCGAAGCTTACGACGTTGTTGGATGAGGGGGAGCAGTTGATGGTTGATGGTTGATTTTAATTGTGTATACTGTGTTTACCCTGCTTATGTATTTTTTTCATCTATTTTTTTTTTGTTTTTTATTCGTTCTTGTCTACTGCATATGATTGTGCTACTGCATATATGTGAAGCCCGCAGGCGAGCCCTTCTTTGTTCTTGTATCTGTCTACCTTCCTACCTACATACCTGCTCCATGAGTTTTTTCTATGTAACTTACTGGCTTACTGGCAAGTATTGTTCTTCTCTGTCTTGGGTGTTGTATGGTTCAAACGACCCTTCACATACTTGTGAATAAAGCTAGAACCAACCTCTTCTCGATAAGAGAGGGAGGGGAAGAGAGGGAGTATGAACAAAGTATGTCCAACCCCAGAGCACATAGTACCGCCGCCCATCCACCAAACGGGGGGGGGAGAAAAAAGAAAAAGGAAAAAAGAAGAATTAAAAACAAATACAAAAACGAAAAACGGGAGGAAATGGAAAAGGAAAAGAGGACAAAAGAAAGAAACAGCAGAATAGAGCCAACACCAACCCATCCATCCATCCCCCGACCTTAAAAACCATACAACGTACTCCCCATCTAAACGGACCAGACGTCAGCACTACAAAGCACCGCCTCTCCTCACCTCAATAAGGAAGCATATGATCTCACCCGATTCAGCGCAAACACGACCTATCAATCGAGATATTATCAGTTTTATTACCTCTACTCCTAACTGCACCGCTAATGCGTTCAATCCGGCACAGAAGGATACTTACATCCCTGGTCGTGATGACCTATAGTTCATTCCATACGAGATGGCCAGTTAGCACAAGCAGATTCCTTCTCTTCAATTCCAGCTAGAAGAAATAAGTTTTTTAGTTTGGGCCACTAACCTTGCGCTCATACCTCTCGGTCTGTACCGATTCAAGGAGGAGCACGATGTGGCGCATGATCTGTGGATAGTCAGTCAATATTATTCCAATTCGTTGAGATAGTGATCAGGTAAGTCTGCGCCGCTGATGGAAGGGTATAATAGAGCAGATGAGATATAATATGATATCATAGGATAGAATAGAATGTCAAATCTGGGTTAATTACCTCCGTGAGACGGATCTTGACGGCCACGCGGATTTCGTTGTACACATCGGCCTTAATGCGGACGACACCACCTCGGCGGGCGAGACGGCTTTAATTGTTATAATGGACTCGTGTTAGGTCTAAATTTGTGGTTAAAGTGCTGATGCTGATGGAAAGGGTACCGGATAGCAGGCTTGGCTAGAAGAAAGAGTCAGTGGGTTGGTTACATGGCTTGTTCGACCGATGATGGGTGTCGTTAGCAGATGGTAAAGAAGGTAGGTACTCACTGATTCCCTGGATGTTGTCGCGGAAGCGTTTGCGGAATCCGGGCCTATAGATGTCATATCAGGTTATCTTGTTGTGTAGTTCTGTGGAGGGAGGTGGGTAGGTAGATAAGTGGTTTGGTTTAGACTTGGCTTGTCCTGCGTATCTTGGGGGTAGCTTACCGTTGGGATCGGCGGGGGACGAACTTGGCCTGGCCCTTTTTCAACTGACGGGGATCCATTGCTGGGATGGGATTTGAGGGGACTTGGTGTTCGTGGGATGTTTTGGTTGTGATTTGAAAGAAGCTTTTGGGATGGTTTGGTGATGTTTTTGACCGCTAGAATGGGAAGGAAGATGGGGTGTTTGATTTGGAGGAGATTGGGAGGTAGAGAAATGGAAGACACTTCTGTCTGTCTTCATTCAAACAAGTGATTTCAGACACAGTGAATCGATGACAATTCAAATAACAGTGGTAAAGGAGAAGCAGAAACATCGACAGTATCAGCCCGTCACCAGGCACCCGCTACCCAAAACAGTAGCTGAAATTGAAAAGATGATTGAAAGCAAGTCATTCATATTATTTAATAGTGCATATAAAGCCAGTGATTGATTATGGTTTCAGGTTCAAAGTTGCAAGTCGGTGAATTATATCATATCAAACACTCAAAAACGCCGGAGACATCACTCTTCCAATAGGGTCGGGACAGGGTCTATGTACGAGGGGAAATTCAGGATTTCACGAGATGAAGGTCGCTTCGGTGAAGACGGTGCCCTCTTCGGTAATTTCTTCATCACCGATCTTCAGCTTGAGGCTGAGTTTGTCTTGCGGGGAGTACTGCGTTGCTTGTTAGTGCGGTTCCAATTTGTGGGGTACTAGTGTTTGGCATACCTGGAAGATATACGGTCGCGTACCGGCGACGCTGCCGGCAATGCTCTTGATAAATCCGGGCACTTCGGCCATGACGTCTACGCGGTCCAGGCGGTTGCCGAGAGGACCGTGGATCTCGGCGCTGACGTCCTTGGGCTCCTTGGATCGCCCTTCCCACGACCACTTGGCCGAGGTCGGCGCCGGCCACTCGCTCTCCTGGTCCTTCTCAGATGCGGTGTGGCTGGCCAAGTTTGTCGTGCCGGCGTAGACGACCTCGCCGTCTTTGACGATGCCGCCGACGTTCACCACGGTGGATCCGTACGAAGGGGGGGTGGTGTATTCCATCATGACGGCCGTGTGCGTCGGGCCCTGGAAGTTGACAAAGTTCCACCGAGCGGCTATTGACATTAGCTTTTTTTTTGCTGTTTGTGACTCGAATATCTACTGAGAAGACTTACCGGCGTGGTGGGGCTTCATGCCCTGGAGAGCGTGGATGAACATGCCCTTGCCGGTGAGGTCGTAGGTCTTCTCCTTGGTGGAGATGGTGCCTTCGACGGCGCAACGGGGCCAGAAGGCATGGCTCATGGAACCCCAGGGGTTCGCGGGGTCGGTACCGAAGTAGGAGGTGCCGTCCTTGCCGATGACGAAACCGGGGGTGGTGCGGGTAAAGGTGAGGTTGATCAGGCTGTCGTCGTTGACGGCGGACTTGAAGGTGTATTTCGTTCCCTCCTCGTTCAGGGTCAGGGACAGGTTGTCCGCGCCAAACGAAAGCATGCTCTCGTCGAACATGAAGTTGGACAGGGGATCGGAGTGCCAGTTGTGGGGGCCATCTCCGGCCAGGTTGAAGATCTTGGCGTTGACATGGGCGGTGGTATGGATTCCTCTGCGAGTCACTGTTCAGCGTGCG